ACAATAACTCTTTTCTATTATTATGAAGCTAACTGCAACCACATAATTTTCTTTAATATTATTCCATGTGACCAACCTAAGTCTAAACAATTAAGAATTAGAGTAACTACATAATTCACATTTAAATAAAGTGAGTAAAGAGTACTTCATCCTTTTGTACCATGTGTCAACAAATAAAAATATATCACTCTTTTATTGTACCTAGGATATTAAAAACAAAAACTGTGTGTTGCATGATACATAATGTTGGATAAAGATATATCACTCTTTTACTGTACCTAGGATATAAAAAAAATAAATTGTGTGTTGCATGATACATAATGTTGTCCACTCATCTCCCTTGAAATATAATGAAATCAATTAGCTGTTGTCTAAGTAACGTAGATTAAAATAATAAGTTCATAATAAATCTAAGAGAATGATGTTATAATTTTTCCAAGACTAGGTCTTAACTTGTACATACTGTTATAATTTTTTTTTATCAATTTTATGTGTAATTTTTAAATGTCAGACTATTCATTCATTAATGTTGATTTATTTTTTCATGCAATTTTGAATTTTTTTTTCATGCAATTGGTATGTACGTGTATGTGATTGAGATTGCATTTCTTTATTTTAACGTACTTTGTCGCTCTTTGGTGCGTAATTGTTCTTTAAAAATAATGTTATATGGAATGTGTTTATTTAAGATTTTAGACCTTTCTGACAAATACATGTTATTGACAGTATTAATATTTAATATTAGTAAAGTTAAGTATAGTTTTATAAAAAATTGTTTATCATTAAGAATACAACATACGTTGTATTATTTTTTTGACCTAATCTCATAATACATGTTTATGTAAGTGATAAATAATTTATTATTTATTATTACAAAAGTCTTAAATATGTTACAATAAGTATTTGTATAAATATTTATACTATATTATATATATTTTGTTTACAAATACAAATCATGGAGTTTAATTCACAATTTACAAAGTTAATATTTTGTTGTAAGATTTAGTAAGATTTAATAAAGAAATTTTATAATATTTATTTTAAAAATAATATTTTTTTGATATATTTTGAGAAATAATTAATTTTTTAATGTTTTTAGTAAAAAAGTCTATTAAAAATATATATTTGTAATTTAAAACAATGATATATTTTGAGAAATAATTTACTATTTAGCATTCTTAGTAAAGAACCTATTTCAGACCAAAAAACTTTAATGGCAGGATTTGAATGAATATATTTTGAGAAAATAAAAATCAAGATTTCAACCTGTGTGGACAAAGTCCACATGATTTCTAGTTGTGCCTGATGACACTCCAACACATTCACTTAACTTTATTAATTTTTTTAATTATTAATATATATATATATATATATATATATAATATAATATAATTATAATCATTTTTCGACAAATTATTAAAAAATATTTTAATATATGTTATTTAGATATAATAACATTTGACTGTATAAGAGTGTGTATGAAATTGAAAGAAAAATAATAGTTGATTAAAAATAAAATAAAAAATATTTAAAATTTTATTTATTTATATAAATTATGTTATTTAGATATAATAACATTTGCTTGTATCAAATTGAAAAAAAAAACAGTTGAATAAAAAAATTAAATATTAAAATTTAAATTTTTACAATTCTAATGGGAATAGTAAAATAAAATAAAAAAATAAGATTTAAATTATTGAAAAAAACACCGTTCTAATGGGAATAATTTTTACAATTCTAATGGGAATAATAAAATAAAATAATAAAAAAATCAGATTTAAATTATTGAAAAAAAACACAGTTCTAATGGGAATAATTTTTACAATTCTAATGGGAATAATAAAATAAAATAAAATAAATCAGATTTAAATTATTGAAAAAAACACAGTTCTAATGGGAATAATAAAATAATTGTATAAAATTGAAAAAAAAAACAGTTGAATAAAAAAAATATTAAAATTTAAATATGAAATTGAAAAAAAAACAGTTGAATAAAAAAATTAAATATTAAAATTTAAATTTTTACAATTCTTAGATATAATATTTGTGTTTAAAATAAAAAAATCAGATTTAAATTATTGAAAAAAACACAGTTCTAATGGGAATAATAAAATAATTGTATGAAATTGAAAAAAAAAACAGTTAAATATTAAAATTTAAATATGAAATTGAAAAAAAAAACAGTTGAATTAGATATAATATTTGTGTTTGTATATAAAAAAGATATTGAAAAAAACACAGTTAATTAAAATTTAAATATGAAATTGAAAAAAAAAACAGTTGAATAAAAAGAATTTAAATAAATTTAAATATGAAATTGAAAAAAAAACAGTTGAATTAGATATAATATTTGTGTTTGTATATAAAAAAGATATTGAAAAAAATCAAATATTAAAATTATTCAAATATAAATAAGATATGAAATTGAAAAAAAAAACAGTTGAATTAGATATAATATTTGTGTTTGTATATAAAAAAGATATTGAAAAAAATCAAATATTAAAATTATTCAAATATAAATAAGATGCAAAAAAATCGTGAATGGCAGGATTCGAACCTGCGCGAGCAAAGCCCACATGATTTCTAGTCATGCCCGATAACCACTCCGGCACATCCACTTAATTTTGTTAATTTTTTAGTTTTTCTTATAATAACATATTAAAATGAAGACAGTTACAAAAATAAATTATTAAAAATTATTTTAACCTAATTTATGTTAAAAATCGTGAATCGCAGGATTGAATCTGCACGGGCAAAATCACATGATTTTTAGTCATGCTCAATATTAATTTTTTAGTTTTCTTTCGTAACAATATATTATAACTAATTAAGATAATTATAAAAATAAGTTATCTTAATAATATATATATATATATATATAATTATAATAGTGTTTTGGATAAATTACTATTAAATATTTTAATATAATTTATGTTAGTTAGATATAATAACATTTAGTTGTATAAGTTGAAGAGAACGGGTATGAATTTGAAAAAAAAATTATCAGTTCAATAAAAAAATCAGATTTAAAATTTTATAAATTTATATTTGGACATTCTAGTCGGGTGCATTAGTATCAAGAATTTATATAATAAAAAAAGTTATGAAATATTTAAATTAATATTTTATTATTCTTCTAAAAAATAGTTTAAGACCAACCAATCTAATAATTTATGTTCATTGTATAAATACATAAAATTTATATGATATTCTTAAAAAATAATCAAATTTATATAAATAATATATTATTTTAAAAAATTATAAAATAATTATATTTCAGAAATTGATTTTAAGTAAATAATAAATTATTGTGTTTGATAAAGATATTTTATATTTAGAAAAATACATTAATTTTGAGTTTATTTAATTTTTTAAAACAATTATTTAAATAAGATAATTAAAATTTATTAGATTTTAATGTTGTTTTGGATAAAGTATTTTAATTATTATTAAATATCAAAATTAATTTGTGAGTTGGGTTCAGCTCACTTTAGTTTGATATTTATTTCGAAATTAAATTAAATTAAACTAAGTCTAATCATAATCAGCTGGATCGAGAAAAATCATAGGCCAAATTAATAAGATTGGATCTGAGACATATTGTTATAGGTTAAAAAGGGTAAAATAAATTGGGTAAGTCTATAAATTAAGATAAGGGAAGATAGAATATCTATGTTATGTGATTTAGGTTGAGTCAACTAGACCATTTTGTAGGTTTAAATTAATATAAGGTATGTATATAATAATAAAATAAAACAAATCAAAATAAAATAAGTTAGAACATAACAAATCAAAATGTTAAGTTAGGAAATATTAATTTAAGATAGATCAAATAAAATCAATATATATTAAATTAGAATAAAACAAATTAAATTAATCCATATTGAAATAAGTTGAAATAAATTAACAAGATGAATATCTAATTAAAAGAAATTAACATTAAAAAAATCAAATTCTTATTTTTACGTCAACTTTAAAATTATTTTAATTTAAATAATTAAAACATTTTCATCCATTTGTATATTGATGTATAAATTTTAAAACATAAGTTTAAACCGACATAAATAACAACTTCTAATAAATATGTAAAAGCAAAAGAAAAAACTATTTATGTTATCTCAAATATTTATTATTTATCCATCACAACATTTCATAATTTAATAATTAATTTATATTATTAGTTATTATTTTTTTTATGTAAATTGAATACGTACGGTATATTAATAACTATACAGTATACACATAAATAAATATAATTTAATTAAAGTCATTTTGAGAAAATTTAATCACATTGACAAAATATATTTATTTTAAAGGATTAAATTAACATTTAAAATAATAATGAGATAATATATATATATATATATATATATATATATATATATATTTAAGTTAGTAAATTTCTTATACATAAACATTGCTTGTAAGAAGAATATTCGGCTTCTAGGAAGGGATTTACAATCAGTTGTTAGATTAAGAAAATATGAAGAACACTAATAGCGAGAAAATAATTAATGCTGAAATTATTTGATTTCTTACTTTTATGATTGATACATAGTATTACAAAAACATAAATAAATATTTGACACAAACAAATTATATTGCATATATATTAACGTATTTAATAGTTATGCACAATGTTAAATAAGTTTATATTTTTAGTTAAGCATAAATTATTAGTATCTAATAATATAAAAAATTATTATCATATGATTCAATAATAATATAAAGATATTTCATTGAAATGAAAATATTTATTCCGGTCCATTGATGGAGAAAAAAAGGAAAACAAAACTGATGCAGGAAGCAGCTACCTTCTTCTGTTATATATTTTTGTTTTGACTTTAAAGCTATCAGTCACGCGCGTGTAAGGGCGGGATTCTCCCCGCTCAAAACGAAAGCGAACCGTCTCCTGCCACACTTTGCTTCACGCACTCCTCGCACAAAACTTTTATCCCTTCTTCCCCGTTCACTCTCTGCTTTCTTTCCTCAATTCCTCCATGGACAACTCCTCGCTGCAATTCGTCTCCGAAATCGGAAGACACCTCGCTCAACGAAGTCGTCCCAACAAGGACTTCATTGTCAAATCACTCGGAGTAAGTTTCGCCTTCTTCGTTACCTTCTCTTTCACCAATGCACCTCCTGCACAGATTATACAGATACCTGTGATTTCTATCGTTTGCTGATAAATTTCGAGTGTGATGAACTAGGTTGTATTTGAATTTCTTCTAAATTTCTGAACATGCGTGAATTGTTTTTCTTAGTTTAATTACCCGTCTAAAGAATTACCGTGATAGTTTGAATTTGGTTTCTGGACTATTAATTAAATGGTTGGTAGTAGCTGGGATAGTTAGTTACTTTTCGACGAGTATATCAGTCACTTTGTGGCGCATTTGTAATCCATTTCAGTTTCCTCTGTAAAACGTTTTCCAGTGTTAGTGTTGGTTACCTTCGATGTTGGTAAACTAAGTTAATTACTATTATAATTATCATCATCATATTTTTTTAATTATTGTTTTTTTGTTTATGTTGTTCTTGTTGTTGAGCAGAAAGCTGCAAATGCTTTGGCTCAGATAAAACAGTCTCCTCAACCGCGGACGGCCAAGGAATTACAAGCTGCTAAGAAACAAGAAGATGCTCTAAAGCCCCTGGCAAATGCTGTGGTTTGTGGTGGTCTGCTTCAACATGCAGATAAAGAAGTTAGGCTTCTGGTTGCTATGTGTGTCACCGAGCTCTTTAGACTCATGGCACCTGAACCGCCTTTCGAAGACAAGCATTTGAGGGTATCCATTTTGTATAGCATAGTTGAAATATGTGTGTAGCTTTCCCTTTCCTCTTCTTTGCTTGTTATGCGCGTAAGCCCTTGAGTGCTAGAATTATATACTACTTTAGTTTAATTGTTGTGCTGACTGCTGATGCATTTTTACTTATTTTTACTTCAGGATGTATTTAAACTCATCATTAGTTCATTTGAGGATCTAGCTGATACCGCAAGTCCATTCTTTTCCAAAAGGGTTAAAGTATTGGAGATAATGGCTCAATTAAAGTGTTGTGTGATAATGCTAGAGATTGACTGCTTGGACCTGGTTCTCCAGATGTTCAATATTTTCTTCTCAATTGTGAGGTTGAGCTTAAGATCTACCTACTCCCTCTCTTTCTCCTCCTTTTGCTTGGCTTCTTTACCTGATTTCTGGGCTTATTATCTAATTGAGGAAAACTTATAGTAGCTTATTTTAGATTCGTCAAAAGTCTATTTATTCGGACACTTCAGTGTCTGACTTGTGAGACAATATTGTTAAGTTTTAGCTTATAATGGATTTTTTATATCATCATTTGTCCTTAATGTATAAGTTCTGGAATGCAACAGTAGGTGGGACTTGGGAGGTTGTAGTTTAACAGCCATAGCTGTTATTTTTGTGCAGCAGCCATTCCTTATTAATTGCAGAAATATGCAATCTAGTGTTTATTATGGAATAATTAATGACACCTAATCCGCTTCACCAAATTTGCAGAGATGAACACCTTCTCATTAGTGCCATGACTTCTATAATGATAAACATTTTATATGAGAGCGAGGAGGCTTTTCAGCAACTTTTTGGAGTAATTTTACAAAATCTTGTGAAGCAAAAAAAGGTAAGTTTTTTTGTTTTAATTCTTTTAATCTTAGTATATGTATGTGTTTTCTATTTTTTTCATGTAAATAAACAAATGAGCTTTGCGATAAAAAATCAAATGCTGAGTCTAAGGCTTTTTCATTTATTTCCCTTTTTTATTTACAAGAATATTACTATTATCCAAAAAAATGTGCTTCATTGTTTTTTCTAGTCAATTTTCTTAGTATACCTTATGTTTAAAGCCTTTTAGTTTGGTTTTGTTTGGTAAAGTCTGCTGCTGATTATTTGAGTAATTTGTTTTTCACTTTAATTGCTGGGAATACCATTATTCATATAGTAATGGTCATATTTGGATGTTACGAGTTTTTATTTTGTCTATTCAGATGTTATGGGTTTGAAAACTATTTCTCTATCTTAAAATGAAACCATATTGTTTCAAAATCTAACTCCAGCTTAATGGCAGGATGCAATTTTAGCTGCTGAAAAACTTGCGGCATCAGTCATCAAAACTTGTGCTCAAGAGGATGACCTGAACCTTCTAGTTTGTGGGTTCTTAGCTTCTTGTATTCACGACAGAGATGCTATGGGCAGCGGGCTTAAAGATTATTACTATGAAATCTTCTCAAAGGTTTTCCAGTGTGCGCCTCAGATGCTTCTGTCTGTCATCCCAACTTTAATTAAAGAATTATCGGTAATGTCTTTGTGGTAAAATTTTATATTATACATAATCTGAAACCCATTGTTTGAAATCGGTTCATTTATATTATGCATGCCCATTCTGTTTTCTTTTTAAATGTATTTATATTCTTGCTTTTTTTGACTATATTTGCATTTCATTTTATAGGCTGATGAGGTGGATGTTCGGATAAAAGCTGTAAATTTGGCGGGGAAGCTTTTTGCATTGGAACATCGAGTTGCTCAGAAGTATCATGATCTTTTTGTGGAGTTTTTGAAAAGATTTTCTGATAAATCTGTGGATGTTAGGATTAGTGCTCTGCAATGTGCTAAAACTTTCTATTTAGCAAATGCCTATGATGGTACAGAATCACGTGAAGTTATGAGTAAGCTCCTTGATAAATATTCTTTGTTGATATTATCTTGTTTGGTTCCATATTTAATATTCAAATGTCCTGATAATTTCATCCAAGTGATTCGTGATCTTGCAACTGAGCAGCTTCTGTTGAAGATCGACTATTAGACTCTGATGAACAAGTGAGAAAGCAGGCAGTTCTTGTTGCCTGCGATATTTTTAGTTCGAACCTGAGACTTGTTTCATCCAAACTACTGTCTCAAGCCACTGAAAGACTTCGGGATATAAAGGCATGAGCTGTTGAATTTTGTATGCTTGCTGAAGGAAAGATTAGTTACAATACAGAATTCCTAATTGTAATTCTTTTACAGATAACTGTTAGAAAGAGTGCCCTCCAAAAGTTGATAAAGGTGTATCGAGATTACTGCAAGAAATGTTATGAAGGTAGCATGACAATCAGTAGTCACTTTGAAGAGATTCCCTGTAAAATTATGATGCTGTGCTATGATAAAGATTGTAAAGAGTTCAGGTCAGTTTATGAATTCAAGATTGCTAGTTGATTCAAAATTAGAGTTTTCTTGTTAGAAGTAAAGGTTGTTTTTCATTATGTTTCAGGTTCCAGAACATGGAATTTGTTCTTGCTGATGATCTGTTCCCTGAGGATCTTCCAGTTGAGGAAAGGACAAACCATTGGATACACATGTTTTCCCTTTTCAGTTTTCCTCATGAAAAGGCACTGGATGCTATTTTGACTCAAAAGAGAAGGTACCAATGCCAACATACTACTATATACAGCATCAGAACAGAATATTGTTTACAAACTGTTCCTTTTTTTTTTAGGTTCCAAAATGAAATGAAAAATTATTTGGCTATGCGGAAGAAATTGAAGGTAAAAATAATATGATTGGTGCATTTACTCATAATAAGGTCACCATTTAGTGTATTTTTTATTGGTTAGAAATTTTTCGAATATTTGAATAAATTGTTATATTGCTGATAAAATGACATATATGAAGATATATTGAATACTGTTGAATATAGGGAAAAACTGTATGGGGTTAATTTTCTTTGTGTATAAAACATACACAGGGTAATCTATTTATAATAAGGAAAAACTGTATGGGGTTAATTTTCTTTGTGTATAAAACATACATAGGGTAATCTATTTATAATAGAGAGATGTATAACTAAAAGAGTAACAGAAAGTAAACAGAATAAACGAAAGATATTGTTTGATATTGTGGTTAACAATATCTAACAATATCTTAAACAATATCAAATAATATCTAAAAAATATCTAAACAATATCTAACACTTTCCCTCAAGTTGGAGCATACAAATCGTATGTGCCAAACTTGTTACAAATATAATCAATTCTAGGTCCCCGTAGAGACTTAGTAAAAATATCTGCTAACTGATCACTTGAGTTAACAAACTCAGTCTTGATGTCTCTAGACATAATCTTTTCCCGAATGAAATGACAGTCAATCTCAATGTGTTTGGTCCTCTTATGAAAGACAGGATTAGAGCTAATATGCAGAGCATCATGATTGTCACACACAAGTGTCATTTGAGTGACATCTCCAAATTGTAACTCTCTAAGCAATTGCTTGAACCAAACAAGTTCACATGCAGCTGAGACCATAACTCTATATTCTGCTTTTGCACTAGATCTTACCACAACACTTTGTTTCTTACTTTTCCACGAAATCAAATTACCACCAATGGAGACATAATACCCAGATGTAGATCTTCTATCAGAGGGAGATCTTGCCCAATCAACATCTGAATAACAAACAACTCTTGTATGGTTATTGAAACCATACAACAAACCTTTTCTAGGAGACCCTTTGATGTACTTTAATATACAGATGACTGCATTCCAATGATCTTGACATGGAGAATTGAGGAATTGACTCACCACACTGATTGCAAAGGAAATGTCAGGACGAGTACTGTAAGGTAATTTAATTTTCCAACCAATCTTCTATACTGCTCAGGATCTGACATAGGCTTCCCCTGATTTGGCAAGAGTTTGATATTAAGATCCATGGGTGTGTCAATAAGATCTGCACTCATCAACCTAGTTTCCTCCAAAATATCCAATGCATATTTTCTTTGAGATATAACAATGTCATCGGTAGATTGTGCCACCTCAATACCCAAGAAATATCTGAGTTTGCCAAGATCTTTGGTTTGAAAATGGTGGCAAAGGTGTTGTTTCATCTAGAAGATGTCATGGTGGTTATGTCTGTAAGAACAATGTCATCAACATACACTATCAAATAGACACATCCAACACTTAAGTGACAGTTTCTTCTTACAAATCTCCATTAAGGAAAATATTTTTGACATCTAATTGATAAAAAGACCATTGTTGAAGAGCAACCATGATGATGAATAAACAAACAGAAGTCATCTTTGCCACTGGAGAGAAAGTATCACTATAATCCAATCCAAAAATTTGGTTATAGTCTTTTGCTACAAAGCGAGCTTTGAGACGATCAATAGTACCATCAGAACCAACTTTAATAACAATGACCCACCAGCAACCAACAACAAATTTTCCAGATAGTAATGGGCGAGCTCCCAGGTTCCACTATTCTGAAGAGCACTGGGTTCATCTAGCATGACCTAACGCCAACCAGGGTGGGTTAAGGGACAAATTTATGAATAGACACAGAAGAGATAGACGAGAGGCAGGTATAAAAAGGTGAAGAAATTCTATGGTAACTTAAAGCAGTATAATGTGGAGAAGGATTACGAGTAGAACATATACCTTTACGAAGGACAATATGAAGGTCAGACTTAGTGGGCGGAGCCGGAGGAGATAGAGTATTTGACACTGGGAGTGAGTCACGTGTGTGTTATGGACGAGGTCTTTGACTATAAACCTGAAGAGGTGGTGGAGGAAGAGGAGGGTCTGATGGTGGATTATGCTATAACATGAATGTGAATAGTAATAGATAGAGACTCATCAGGTAGAAGATGATCCTTAAAGTAAAAGGAAGACTCATTGAAGGTGACATCTGCAGACACAAAATAGCGATTAAGAGAAGGAGAAAAATACTTGTATCCTTTTTGTGATTGAGTAAATCCTAAAAAAACACATTTGTGTGATCTAGTAGATAACTTATCATGACCAGGATCAAAATTGTAAACAAAACATGTGGACCTAAAAACCTTCAGAGGCAAAGGATGGAGTAGGTCACAAAGAAATAAAATAGAATAAGGAATTTTGTTATCTAAAACTGAAGAGGACATACGATTAATAAGATAGCATGCACTAAGAATAACATCACCCCAAAAATGTTGAGGAACTGCACCATGAATTAAAAGAGTGCGAGTTGTTTTAATAAGGTGTCTATTCTTGCGCTCAACCATCCCATTTTGTTGAGGTGTATCAGCATAGGAAGTTTGATGAAGAATGCCATGAGAAGTCATAAATTGTTTAAAAGAGTTTGAAAGATATTCACGATCATTATCACTCCGGAAGGTTTGAATAGAAACACCAAATTGATTCTTAATTTCATTAAAAAAGGTTTGAAATATAGAAAACAACTTAGAACGATTTTTCATTAAAAATAACCAAGTACGTCGGGAGTAATCATTAATAAAAGTAACAAAATATTGAAAACCTAAATTAGACTTAACACAACTGGGTCCCCAAATGACAGAGTGAACTAAGGAAAATGGGGATGAAACACATTGTGAAATACTACAAAGAAAGGAATTACGATTATGTTTTCCTAATTGACAGGACTCACATACCAAACTGGACAATTGAGATAACTTGAGAATAAGTTGTTGTAATTTGGTCAAACTGGGTTGACCAAGTTGAGCAAGAAAGAGAGAAGGAGACTCCATAACTGTGTCAACATGTGTAGAAGGTCGAATATGATAAAGACCATGTGACTGACATCTGGTGCCAATCACTTGTTTCGAACTCCGATCCAGTAAACAAACAAAAGTTTTGGTAAAAGAGATAACACAATCAAGAGAATGAGTTAGGCGGTTAATGGATAATAAGTTGAAGGGGGACTAGGGTACATATAAAACATTATCAATGGATAAGGAAGGAAAAATGTTAACCGTTCCAACACCATGAGCTAAAGTTGTAGACCCATTAACCATTGTAACAGAGGGTAAATTATGGGGAGAGGAGAAAGAGGAAAATAAGGATTTGTTACCAGTAATGTAATCTGTGGCTCCTGAGTCAAGGACCCAAGGGCCAATAGAAGAAGATTGAGTCAGACCAGCAAAAGATGTACCTGTGCGTGCAACAGAAGTAGTAGAACTAGAGGACTTATGATCCTCATACCATTTAAGAAAATCATTGAAGATGGCAGATTTGTCTGATGCCAGGGGAGCAAATGAAGGAGGTTCCACAACAGATGATTGTGAGGAAGGATCAATTTGAGCAACAACAACAGATCGAGGAGAATGATCATGTAAAACATAACATCTGTCATGAGAATATGAGAATATTGATTAGTAAGTCTGTGTAACATTAAAACCATGAAAAACTTGGACTGTTGCTCTAATTCTTGTGTAGGGGTAGATGCAAGAGGTAATAACTCATTAAATTAATGGAGAAAAGCATGTATCTTACCCACATAATCCGCCACAGGATCCGTATCTCGATGAGCAATAACATCAACAAGGTTGTAACAAACACCATAAAGACGTTGAGTGTCATTGGTCTATAATAATTTGGCTTGTTTCCAAACATCAGAACATGTGCCATAAGATCAAAAAATTTGTTTTAAAGAAGATTGGATGGTATTCTTGAGAACCATGCATATATGAGCATCAATTTTCTTCCAACGTACAAGATCACCAGAAGCAATATCAGTTACCTTTTGAGTAAGATGATGAACATACCCCTAACTCTCAAGCCAAAGTTTAATGTCTGACGTCCAAGTTGCATAATTCGTGCCATCTAACTTTTTAATGGGAAAATTCACATTGACATAGCTAGTAAAGATTGATTGATTAGACCCACTGAATTTGAGAGAAGAAATTTCAGAGTTGGAAGAGGTAGTGGAAGATGCCATGGAGGATGAGAGAGAAAAATCCTAAAACACCAAAGAGGTCCGATTGAACAACGAGAACAGATCCAAGAAGAGGAGAACAAGGCGAGTTCGGCGCAGGTGGCGACAGCTGCGACAACGACTGTTGCAATGGCAGGGACGGAAAAAAATTTTCAAGAAAACCTTAAGCTCTAGATACCATGTTGAATATAGGGAAAAACTGTATATGGTTAATCTCCCTTGTGTATAAACCACACATAGGATAATCTATTTATAATAGAAAGATGTATAACTAAAAGAGTAACTGAAAGTAAACAGAATAAACAGAAGATATTGTTTGATATTGTGGTTAACAATATCTAATAATATCTTAACAATATCTAAATAATATCAAACAATATCTAACAAATACAAACTAATTATTAACAAGTATTGAGTAGAGACTATGGCTTGCTACTTATAATCTAAGAGTGACAAATTTGGGATTAGAAAACAGAGTTTATGACTAGAATCTTGTATGTAATTGAGTAGAGGCTGCTACTTGTAATTTGAAAGTTATTGATTTGACAGTAATAAAGCAATTTCTTATCACAATCTTATGTATGTAATTAGGATAGTGATGAAATCAATTTTTCCTTCCTGGGCCTAGGTCACTACAGAAAAATTATGCATGGGAGGAGGACTATCCAAGTCTTATAGGGAATATTTTGCCCATATTCCCGGGACATTTTAATACTCTTTACGCATAGTACTGGATATTTTATGATAGTTCTTATATTTCTACAACTAACTAACTCTCAAATTATTCAACTATGTTACTATAGGGTTACCTATCAGAAAGACTCTAATATGTGAAAACATATAGAGCCATATTTACTTTTTTAAAACTAGCCCAGAGGATAAAAGGAATATTCTGATCATATTTTTAGCCAGTGTGGAACATTTTTGCAATGGTTCTATTTATAGTGGGAGAGTCACAACTCCCAAGGGTCTTAATAAATGTTTAACTTGAGTGTATGGTTGAATTTCAACCATAACAATTTGCTCATCTTATGGGTTAAATTTATTTATTGAATTTTAAACTAATTTTTTTACTGCTAGTAAATCCTTACTTTTTTCCCCATTTGGTATTAATAGTTAAGAAATTATATGATGGAGTCAGCATGACATATGGTCACTTTAATGTGTTCTGGCAATGATTTTATAGCTTAGTAACTCTCTTTCAGGAAATTTGTCCAGAAGAAATGGAGAAGAAGATTGAAAGTATGTTTACAAAGATGGCAGCATTCTTCCCTGATTCTCACAAAGCTGAGGAGTGTCTGCATAAGTTAAACCAAATTAAAGATATTAGCGTGTTTAAATTACTTGAAAAATTGTTGGAGGAACAAGCCTTCACAACGATGGGACAAACTATGAAAGTATGCTGTTTGGTTCAACTTATGCATATAATATTATATATTAGCAATTTGAATTAGTTTTTAATTGAATGTCATGCATGGTGTTCTTTTATGTGTTCCTGTGTATAATTAGTCATACATATGCAGTTCTCCTGTCATTGGAAGTTAATTACATTTGTTGGATAAAGGGTTGAGATTCTCTCATTTTTTCTTTTCAACGCCACATCTTCTAATAATTTCATTTTTCTCTCTCATTGCAATAATTTCATCTTTTAGGTGTGTTGCATGACTATGATTCATGAGTGATTTTACATATTTGTTCGAGATCTCATATCCACTAGAGATATGACAAACTTATAATATATAAGAGAGTGCAAATCTCACCTTACAAATTGATTTTGTGAGGTTAAGTTAAACTTAAAGTCCACTTTCTAATAATATTGAATTGCATTTTGGCTAGGCATTATAGTATATATTCATTTCACTGTGTATTTTGGGAATATGTAATGATTGTTTTCGTGTGTCAAGTTCTCTATGTATATTTTTATTCTTTTCTGTATATAGTTATATTTGTTTCTTTATAACCATCCATTTTCCCCATTTTATGTCACTTTTGTTTTGCTTGCAGGATAAACATCTGGTAATGATTGGAGACCGCAATCCAAATTATGAGTTTTTACGTCCACTCTTCTCCAAATGTTCATCCAACATTTTCAGCTCAGAGCATGTCAAATGTATCTTAGATTATCTCACCAATAATGAATATGAAAATAAGAATTTGGAGGATTCTTCTTCAAACCTTCTGCTGGTAAAAAACAATGTCTCTTAGTGGATTTTCACACTTTTATTTAGTTGGTAGTTCTCTTTATGTCTTTTTTTGTTGGGGAAGAGGAAAAAGATAAATCATTTGGTCCTTTGCTGCTTGAAAATGAGATTAGACACTAGGGAATGCTAATTAAAAGATTGTGATAATGACTGGTGAAGCATTCGAGTAAAAGTTAGTAATCTTAAACAATGGTAAAATCTGTTTGTGATACTAATTTCCCTACTGTTGTATAGATCCTGCTACAAAATATATGAGATGATGTTCATGTTGTCAGTTAAGTCATAATTCTATTAGCCAATGTTTTAAATAGCTGCAAGGTAGCTTCTACATTGAAGGCCTTGATATATATTTAATTTGAGTAGCGAAAATAATAGAAGAATGGTTAGGTGCAAGAATGAATGTCAAAGCATGACTCATTTAACATGAATGCGTTATACTCCTAGGGGTATATGAATTGACCTTTGTTATTTGAGGTTGGAATGCTTTTGTTTGTTGTATTTTCCTGAAATTCTACTTAAAACGGCTTTTTGAAAAGTCTTTTATTTGAATTATGCATTTGAATGAACATCTGAAGCTACATTAATCACTTTTCAATAGGAGGAATTTTTTTTTCTTAGATATCAGAGAAAAGGAGGAAATACTAAAGAGAAGAAAAAATTGTATTATTGTATTGTATGACGCAGTGGTACAGGAGTACATAAAGACAGATATGCAAAGGGTTTTGTTATAACTGAACTTTAACAAAAACCTAATATCCAATTGACACAAGGAAAGATACAGTACAGTAGTCTCAGAATAAACACTTGTGCACCCAACTTGATCACATCCTATCATACTCTGACACACCCCCTCAAGTTGTAGGCAGCTAAGCAGGACCGGTGACAATTGCAGCTTGTCTCTAAGATACTAAAAAGAGTTGGTGAAAACTTTTTTGTGAGAATATCAAGATAATGTCCTTGAGAGGGATGTGTAGAACCTTCAAATTAATTTCTTTTAGATTTTAGCTCCATATTCTTTGTTCTAGCATGAAGAACGGTATTATGAATTTATGAGAGCTACTGTGCTCATGTTGTCACAGTATATTGTAGGTGAGGAGGGGATATGGACTTGAATTTATTGCAACTGTCACTTAATCCATAATGTTTCAGTTGAAATGGCTTGCAAGGCATTGATATGCACATTCTGCTGACATTTATTTGTATTAGACATGTGGGATAAAGATGTGCATTCTGTTACCTGCTCTATTGTGCATACCGAATGTTAACACTTTTTGGCATTGTTGAAGAGGAGTGTGTTGAACATCCCACATTGATTAGAGACATGACCAAATTCTAGTATATAAGTAAGTGAAAACATCACTTTGTAGGGTTAAGTTGTATTTAAAGTCCATTTTCTAATGTGGTATTGGAGTTTATTCTAACAAAGTTTGTTTGGCCTTTTGTGTCACTCATCATTGGATCATCCACAAATATTTATTATTAGACAGTTTTTTGCAGGACGGGGTGTATTAAAGATCCTCGTTAACTAGAGATATGATCAAATTAGGTTTAAAGTTGACAAGTTGAAACTTAAAACAATTTGATATGACCTGAGATTTGAAAAATACACATAAACATAGTTGTGAACATTCTTGAAATGCATATAAACTCAACAAAATGCACAAAAATACAAAGGTTTAAAAATCTGTTTTAAGAGTTTGGATTTTTGATTTGTTTAGGATTTGATATGTGTCTGCTTATATGTGCATTGTAGATGAATGTTAATGATGAATGAAAATTTGATGAAAAAGGAATTTAGATATCCCATGAATGAATGTATATAGTGCGAAAGGTTAAGCCATCAGGTTTTAGGAATGGTTTTGTGTGTGCTTTCTCTATCAATGTGATAATCTCTATGTTAGTAATTAATCAAAACTATAGTGTGTTTTTAATGTGAAGTGATTTATGGCTACCCTAAGATTTTTAGATTATTTTGGCTATTGTAGTCAAATTAAAGCAAGCCTCTTTGTCTGTACGAGTGAGCAGTAGTCTTCAATTTAAATTCTATGATAAGTCTTGGCACCATTTTATTTGAACCAGGCTATTGTTCGATATTGCCCCTCTATGCTGAAAGGCCTGGAACAACAGTTCCAAATGTTGTTGGAACAGAAAAGTTCTGTTAATGACAAGCTGATCGAGGTTATAGCAAAGGCAGTCTGTAATATGTCTTTCAATCATAGGTACTATTTTTTTATTTAACACATGTAAGCTGAATGTTTCTAACAGAATTACCCACAAGAAAGTCTGCTTTAACAAATTTGTTGCTACTATTTCAGTAAATACAGGTATTAGATGTAAATGTGTTTTGTTATAATTTGAAACAATTTTTGTTAGTGTGAATAGTATATCTTCCTATTAATTGTTAAGACTTTTGTTATTTTGTAACCCTCTCTTTATTTTATATAAAGAGACTTTGTAATTTTGTGATTCCGTGTGAATAGACATTCTCTTTTAGTTTTTCATTATCTCTCCACTCTCTCTTTCTCTCAAAGAATTGTAATATGTCAAGAGCCTACATATTCTTTATGGCTGAAATTCTTCCTCCTCCTTCTCCCTCCTCTTGTCTTTGTAAAGTTTTCTGAAAATTAGATGATTCCAACTTTTTGCTTTGGCGGCAGCAGGTGGAGCCTTGCATCAAGTCGCACCTTCTTCAATACTTTACGGAAAATCAGTCTATTCCGCTTCGTTTTCTTATTGAAGAAGATCATGAAGCTGGAAAAATCAATCCAACTTATAGTGCCTAGGAGTAGTAGAATCAAATGCTATTAACATGGTTACAAATTCTTATGTATCTTAAGGGGATGCTTTTACGTGGTCTCTGTCTAACTCCTATTTCTTCTGCTTCTCCATTTTTACTGCAAGCCTTTTGTGATGCAGATTTGGTTATTGATCCAATGATCGCTGGTCAACTTCTGGTTTTGCTATTTTTCTTGGACCAAATCTCATTTTTTGGTGGTCATGTAACAAACCTTGTAGCAAGATCCAATACTGAAGCAAAATATCAAAGTCTTGCTCAAACAATCGCTGAAATCTTGTGGATTGAAACTTTTCTAAATATCACATGGTCCTCCTACCATCTATTGTGATAACTAGGATGCAGTGGCTCTTGCTCATAATTCTGTTCTTCATGAAAGAACCAAACATATGAAATTTGATCTCTTCTTTCTCAAAGAAAAATCCTATCAAAATGTCTCTATGTTCTTCAGTGGGATGATGCTCTAACCAAACCCCCTATCTCTTACATGTTTCCTATTTCTAAGGGACAAACTCAATGTAATTACTTTTTCTAAAAATCATTAACCACCTTGAGTTTGAGGGGGTGTGAATAGTGTATCTTTCTATTAGTTGTTAAGATTTTAGTTATTCTGTTACTGTTTTTATATCAATCTTAACCCTCTCTTTATTTTATGTAAAGAGACTCTTGTGATTTTGTGATTCTATGTGAATAGACATTCTCTTTCAGTTCTTCTTTTCTCTCTCTCTCTCTCTCTCTCTCTCTCTCTTTCTCTCTTTCTCACAGAACCGGAATAGTTAGTGTCCTTTTTGGACTTTGAAAAGTTTTATCCTTAACCGACTTCTGATGTAACTAATTGGGTGTTTGCTTTGAGACATTAAGTAATTCGTAGATACTTTGTATTTATGTTGTCAGCTTGTTAATTTTCAAATATTGGTCTCTCCTTTTGTCAGGGCGATACTGATTTTGGGGCTTTCCCAATATGTGAAGTTGACTAAATGTTCTAAGAATTTATTTTTATGTATAATGTATTAAATTTTTGGAATAAAGTTGAAATGCTGCTTTTAGTTGGAGAAATTTCAGCTTTGAATATATCTTCTGATTAGAAAGTAGACTAACTAATATTTGATTTCCTTTCTAATTTAATTTCCCTGTGTGCTCTGTATGCAGTGATATTTATCCATTTTTAAAGAGAATTTGCTTGGACGGAACACGCAGACAGGCCAAATTTGCGGGGTCTGCAATCATTGGTCTAAGTTCTGAACAATCAGTTCTTAGAAATTTATACGAGGTATATATTTTTGTGTGAATGCTACTTACAACTATATATTTGTTATTTTAGGTTTTTATTGAAGGAAAACAACTACTTATGTTTAATCGCTAAAAACTGATAATTAATTTTCTTTTAGCTTAAAGCACATATGGATTGCTTGGGCATCATCTATGTGAAGATTTTGAGAGAAAGCAAGATAAACTTGTAAAGGAAGAAACTCAAATATGTTATTATTATTGAATGTCAGGATAGTTAGATTACAAGGTTCAATGTACCTACACATTACTTAATTGACTAGGGTAGCTAATTAGAGAGAGAAATACAGTATAACAATGCTCGTGATAGGATCCTGTGAACCCTTCTTAACCATATACTCTAACATACCCCCTCAAGTTGAAGGTGGTTGGGTTGAGTGTGGAAGGATAGACATCTTTAGCTTGGTGGAGTATTTAAGCGTTTGGTTCTTCCCCTTAATAGCCAACATTTGGGGTCTTAATCGCATTGACTCAACTTTGGGATTCAAATACTTTGTTGCATTATTGATGACTACTTGTGTTGCAATTGGTTATTCTTGATGAAAAATGGATCTATATTCTTCATTTTCAACTTTTTTTACCATTAGATAAAGACACAATTTGGTGTCTCATTCAAGCTCTTTGGAGTAATAATGTTTGTGAATACATGTCTAGTCATTTCAAAATTCTTCACCAAACATATTGTGCTCACACCTGCTGGTAAAATGTAATCATCATCTTATAGAGACAACTCAAGCTCTATTGATCCATGGCTATTTCCTTTTTTTTTTTCAGGGGGGGGGTGGTTTGCTCTTCTTACTTTTTGTTATCTCATAAATTGGATGGCTTCCTTTGTCCTTAACAACCAAGCATTTCAGTTTTGTTATCAGACTCTACATTCCTTGCCACATCGTCTCTTTGGGTCTACTTGTTTTGTCCATAATCTTGTTTCCGCTCTTGATAATTGTCTGCTTGGTTTCTCAAATGCGGATTTTTGGGTTACACTTGAACCCAAAAGGGTTATCATTTCTATTCACCTAGTTTATGTTGGTACCTAGTCTATATCTATCTTAACTCTTTAAGACATATGACTCTCATTTGTGATAACCATACTTCCTAGTATATTGCATCAAATCCAATATTCTATGAGAAGACCAAACACATTGAGATTGTTTGTCATTTTAATAGGGAGAATATATTGTTGAGAGACATTATGATGAGATTTGTGAATTCAGATGACCAATTGACAGACGTATTCATCAAGTCATAGAGATGTCCTCATATTGATTATGTATGTTACAATCTTGGTGCATATACTTTAGCTTAGGGAAGTTTGTAGTTCAATTAAGATCTTTATAATTATGTTTAATATCAGTTTAGAATGTTATGAATAAAATCTCCCATATCAATTTGTATTTATTGCATTTGTCCTATATAAATTGGTCTTTATTGTGTGATGTAGCCACCTGGATTCACTCATTTGCTCTCTCATTTTTTCCCTTGAAACAAATATTATAAATTAGGAATAAAATCTCTTATATATTTGCCCTATATAAATTGTTCTCTGTTTGTGATGGAGACACATGGATTCACGCATCTGCTCTCATTTTCCCCCTTTCAACAAATATTATAAATACAACGTGTTCTAGCAACCATCATCACCACTGTTAGCGCCACCAGCACACCACAATTGCTATAATAACCACCACCACTTTCATTATTGTAATTAACACATTTGCCACCACTTCCACCATTGCGATCACCATCTTCATTGTTGTTATCACTATCCTTACTTAATCTTCAATATAACAACCACCACTATAGCATCACAGTCACCATTAGCTTCACCACTTTTGTTGTTGTCATTGTCACTAATACATCCTTGTCACCACCATTAGCTACATACACCTGTTATTATACACACCTAATTGCATGTTGGTTGATTTGTGAAAGCTCAAACCACTCTGCGAGGTTCCTTGACTCTGTTTATTGACAGTTATAAATTAAAGCTGTCTATTAGTGGCGAGGATACTTGATTCTGTTTATTGACAGTTATAAATTATAGCTATCTATTCGTGGTTGGTGATTTGCTTTTTAGCACAGACAATTAACATTATCCCTTTCTATTTTTCTGTATGTGGCCAGGAGCTAATTGATTCTTTATATAGTCAGCGGAATGTTCCTACTATTTTGCAAGCTCTGGGATGCATTACACAATATGTTTCAAATTTTGAAACTCGAGTTGAAGAGATCACATCATATATATTCCGGAAGATCATCCAAGTACTTGGATTTAATAATAAATTGTCTTGCTTGATTAGTTTATTCTGCCTGAGCACTGATGGTATTGTGTAAAAATATATTGGCTGTTTGAATTGTTCATGAAATAAGTTGCGTGTTTTATTAGATGGAGCATTTGGATGATGGTCATGATGCAATATCCTTTCATGATACTTCTCAATGTAGTGAATCTTGTCAATTAAAGGTTAGTATGAAGAATCAAATACTGCATTTGATTACAAAGTTCTCATCTAACTAACTAACTATATATATATATATATATATACTTTTTCTTGTATATTGTGCCCATGTATTCTCTTCATATTGAATTTATTTTCCTTTTACAAATTGCAAATAGCTTTCATACATAGAAATAATCTCATCCACCTACAAACTTGCTCAAGGTTAAAATTCCTGTTTCAAATTGCAAATGTCTCAGTCTGGTTATTATATTGTCTTAATGTCTCAGTCTGGTTATTATATTGTCTGTCTTCAAATCCTCCTCTATTGGATCTATAGTCGGCTCTAATATCAGAAAGAGTTTACTGAATTGTGTGTACAATCCCATATTTTTTATTTATAATGAGAGAATAATTAAATAAGAATACTGTCAATTTACATAAATATATAATTTTTGACCCGTTCCATAATGTGTTTGTAATTTGTTTTAGTTTCATGGCAATGATTTTGCAGATTTATGGGCTGAAAACACTGGTGAAGATTTCTTTGCATTATGAGGGAAGTTATGTTAAGCGTAATATTAATGGATTGTTGGAAACTTTGTCAAGAATGCTACGAGAAAGTGATCATTTTGTTAGTAGAGCAACTAGCTCCTGGTATAACTTCTATACTTTTGTAGGTCAATAATTTTTATGCTCTACCTTTTGCTACAATGCTTTTGCTTTCATTTTCTACTTCTTTCATAAATGTTGTGGTTGATTCCTTGTTTTTACTTACAAAAACCTTGTTTTTTCTTGTTTTCACTTACAAGTGTAGAAAATCATAATGGCTAAAGGTTTGTGTAGTTTTTAGAAGGTCATAGGTTCCACCTTTCATGCTATTGGTGTACCAAATAAATTTTAGTATCACTCTTTGCTTGTTTTTTATGTTTATTCAACATCATCTTTTATTGGTCTTGTATAATAAATATAAATATTATATCTTTTAAATTCTTCATACTTAGTGCAGTTCAGCTGCTTCGTTTAGAATAAATTTGACACACGATGGAAATCAACTTTAAAATTAATGGTTAAAACAATCTATAGTTGATTCTTGTTCTTTTGCAAAAGTCTAGAAGACCTTTCGAAGTCTGGTAGTGAACAAGACTAAATATAAGTTTTGTTCTTGATTATTTTTATCATTTCTCTCTCTCTCTCTCTCTCTCTCTCTCTCTATATATATATATATATATATATGTGCGCGCCGTGCGCACACTGAATTGTTTACATTCATCATGCTTTAAACTTGCTTTTAAATTTTGTTGTGTTTACTACATGTAGTGAAAATGATAAGGCTCATATTAGATTAGCTGCTGCAAAGGCAATCCTTCGTCTTGCTAGGAAGTGGGATTTACATATTACTCCTCAGACTTTTCGGTTTTCTATATTGATTGCGAAGGTATGTATATTGAACTATCCACATATGAAGTAATTCAGCTGGTAGAGAAAGTAGATGAAATTTTAAAGTTGATGATAAAATATTAAAAAATTTAGTTTCTAAAATACTAAAATCAATGATATACTAGTATATTGAATTATTAAACACCCAACACCTTTCAAAGATCACACTTTTATTGTGATGCTAATGACATTGGCCTAAATAATAGTGTTCTATTAATCTGTTGCTACAGTAATGGCTTTTTGTCCGAGAGTTGAAAATTTCAGTTTGTTTTATTCTTTCATGAAATTGGGTTTCCTCTAATGAGCACTCAATATATTCAAGTCAAATTCCTCAGGTGCTTCATATGATTGTTACTAATCATGGTTTCATCATAGTCGGGTGACTATTAGCATTGCGATGCATCAACACTACCATTTTTATTAAAAAATCTAGCTTAGTACCTTTCTGCACTTTCCTCAACCTTGTTCTTATTGATAAAGGCCCACCTTACATTTTTTTTATCATGTGGTAGGTCTACAATCTCCCTAATTCCATTCTTAAATGGATTTATATTTTCTTAGAATGCTAGCTTCTAGTTAGGATTCTTCAATGTTTCTACGCACAAATGAATTTGTAACTTTGGAGATAAATTTCAGGCTAGGTGACTTTGGGAAAAGTTTTGGCAGGAAACATATTTTGAGATGAGATTGTGTTGGGTTTGGCTTTTGGTTGAATCTTTTATTAACATTTCTTTCATGATAACTATTAGAGATTAGATAAGACGGAAAGAGATTTTTTTGAAATATTATTAATTGAATTGAACACACGTATTAGGGATTACGACATGTTTTATATGGCTTAAGGGATGGAATCTCTAAGTTAGACAAAGAAACGACCTCTAACTTGATAGTTAGATAAAGATAACAGTTTTGACAAAATATAATAGCCTAACAAACTTCTGCTATACAAAGAGAAAGAAAACAATCCTCACAACACAGATTATCACTCTATTGAGAAAAATATAAAGAGTAAAACTATACACTGGTACTTCCTACAAGCTCACTGCGGCTAAGAGGTGCATGAAGCACTTTGAGCTTGGACCAAAGAGCACAAAACCGTTCAGGTGACAAAACCTTAGATTTTGAAGTAGTCATGGATTTGCCTAGAAAGGAGAGAAAAATAGTCAAACAATATGAAAAACAGCCAAACAGAGAATAACTAGTTAAGCCTAGGATATCAATTAAACCAATCAACTTAAGTTTGGCAGATTTCTCTTGTGAATTTTAGGACTTGTTTCCACATGTTCTTCCTTTTTATATCCATATGTTAGATAAATCATATTTGTATCCTCAATGTGAAAAGTTGATCCAACTCCTCCTTGTAACTTGTTCTTCCTTGTATATTCATTTTTTTTTTTTAACGTTGATTAAAAAGAGTCCTTCACAAAATTTTAAAATTGGAAACTAATTGAAAACTTGGTAGTGTTGTAATTATTAACAAAAACATACCAATTGACATTGAAAATAGAAAACAAACGAAACACCCATTAATGTTTACAATCTTCTTAAAAGTTAAGAGAAATTTAAATTGATGTAAATCATATTTATGCAAATTGGTATGAAATTTGGCACATAAGGACAAATGTACTAAATCCATGTTGTGCCAGAATTACTTTTACTAATGGCTCTTCCATAAACTATAAATATTCTTGGATTTAGAATTGATTCATTATTAAATTTTTCATTTCAACTTTTGTTGTGTATCTCTTTCTGTATTCCAGGACCCTTCTTTGTTTGTTAGGAGCAAATTTCTTATTAAGACCCAAAAGTTGTTGAAGGGGCATAAGCTACCAATCAGATTTGCTTGTGCTTTTGCTTTGGCGGCACCAAGTGGTATTGGTGATATGCAATATCAGGTGTGTTTATCGCTTCCATGTTTTATATGTGATTTTTACTATTTACTTTATTGTTGATGTTATGATTTTCTATTCATGTCAAGTTGCATTACCTTTGTTGGATATCTAATTATAATGTAAGCAATTGAAATGTTGTAATTATTATATACTATCAACTATGGTATGACCCCTGTTATCATTAAAGGCCATGTTTGAATATCTAATAGGGTTGTATTAGAAAGTGAATATGGATCTAACTCAATCTTTCAAAATTGGTATGTAAGATGAAGTTTGCACCCTACTTATATAATTTAGTTTTATTTCTAGTTAATGTAAGATCTCCAATACACTTACTCATGTTGAGAATTAGATACCTTGAGAGTGTGGGACTAGATACTTGTGGGTGCTCCGTTAGTGGGTGGCACAATAGATGTAATAAATATTGCTAGGGTTGCTTCTGATACTATATTAGATTGTAAATATGAACTTAACTCAATCTGACAAAATGGGCTTGTAAGTAAGATTTGCATCTCACTTATATAATATAATTTGTTAATATATGTTGTCAATATGGAATCTCTAACAAATTGAAATGGAATTGATAGAAGTGGAATTTTGTGAAACGAAGACACAATTTCATTGTTTTTGTTTTTTGATTATCATAAGGAAAAAGACAATGGTTTCTCTCCATTGGAGGGGAAGGAAAAGAGATGTATGGAATGAAGTGCATTCCATAAAGTTTCTCTACTATAATTCCATTCCAACAATTCAAATATAACTAAGGGAAATCTAAAATCTTCATAGCTTTGCAACCAACATTATCTACGCCTTTATTTCCATAACTTGTCACTTATACTTCGACTCCATTAAATTGTATCTTTCATCATCCCCAAATTTTAGTTAATAACGTTCTCATTATTGTTCTTCATTAATCTCTTTTATGTGTTTTTGTTAAGATTCCAACATAAAACCAATTGACAATATGTGGAGTAGCCTAACATGTATTTAAACCATACCAAATGATATGAGGTAGGCGATGTGAGACTTTCAACACACCCCCTCCAACGAAGCCTACCGGACCAGGCAAAGGGTACTTTTGACCCAACTAAAGGGCAACTTTTGGCCCATGACAATAACCGAAAATATGTTAGGCTTTGACTCTGATACCATGTTAAGGTTCCAACATAAAACCAATTGGCTTCTTTCCTATTGGTAAGGTGACTAACTCCCAGGTGTTGTTATTCTCTAATGCCTCCATCTCTACATCCATGGCTTGCCTCCATTTTCTGTCAGACAATGCCTCAGATAGGGTATTAGGTAGTAGTGTTTAGGTTTACTAGGAAGGTTTTATGGGTAGGAAAGAAATTTTTAAAGGACAGGTAGTTTGAGAGAGGGTAGAGTGGTTGTTTGGTGCATTTTCTTGTTCCTTTTCTAATGACAATTGGGAGGTCAGGATCATTTTGGGTTTCAATTTCAATCTGTACAGCTGGAGAAAAAATTGTTACCTCTTTTTGTGGAGTCGAGTTGGATTCTTGAACATGGCTTGATCCTGGAATGACCTTAGTCTTCCTTGTGTACACCAGCTTCTTACCAAATTTGTCAGCTTCAACATCTCCTTGATCAGCTTCACAATTAATTTCACTTTCTTGACCAACTTCCTTTTCTTGACCAATTCTTTGACCTGTTTCACTTGTTACAGCTTCAATTTGATCTTGTTTAGGTTCCAATATCAAGTCTGGAAGAATGGGAAAATCAGAATTACTACTTTCCTTGTCTTCCTTGAAACTCTCGTCCCTGAAGATAAGGTTGATGGAAATAGTCCTCTTGTTCATTGAAGGTAACATCCCTATACACAAAGGATTTTTTGGATGGGGGGTGGTAGCATTTATACCCTTTTTGAGTGGGTGAGTAACCAACAAAGACACACTTTAAGGCTCTAGGATCAAGTTTTCCCCTGTCTGTACTATGAATATGGACATATGAGATGCACCCAAAAACTCTTGGTTTAAGATTATTTGTAGTAGATAGGTTTGGATAGAAAGATGACAAAGCTTCCATAGGGCTTTTTGATCCTAAGACTCTAGAGGGTAGTCTATTGATAAGGTATGTCACTGTAAGGACAGCTTCCCCACATAAATTTTTTGGGACACTTTTTTGGAACAATAATGCCCGAGTCTGATTTAATAGATGTCCATTTTTCCTCTCTGCGACCCCATTCTGCTGTGGTGTTTTGACACAAGAGGACTCATGAATTATACCTTCTTTTTGACAAAAAGAACTAAGGACATGATTGAAGTAATCTTTGGCATTATCTGACCTAAGCCTCTTAATATTGACACCAAACTGATTTTTTATCATGGAGTGGAAGTTTAGGAAGACAGAACTGACTTCTAATTTTTGTTTAAGTAGGAAAACCCAAGTGACCCTTGTATAGTCATCTATAAAGGTGACAAACCATCGAGCACCAGACACATTTGGAATATTAGAAGGTCCCCATACATCAGTATGAACAAGATAAAAAGGGAAATTGCTAACTTTATTACTTATTGGAAAAGATAGATGCTTGTGCTTAGCAAGTTCACACATCTCACAATGAAGACTCTCAACATCTAACTTGGTAAATAGAGAGGGAAACATAATTTTGATCACTCCAAAAGAGGGATGTCCCAACCGACATTGATAAAGCATGGTTTTTTCTCTATTGGTCATCAAGGATTCAGATATGAAGGAGTGAGAGATTCTGTTCTTGCTGGGCAGACTTGGATCTTCGAGATAATAAAGGCCATTCCATTCTCTAGCATGTCCAATCATCCTTCCCGAATCCTTGTCCTGAAATACACAATGATCGTTGAAAAAAACAACTTTACCTGACAAATCCTTTATAAGTTTTTATATAGAGACTAGGTTGGTGGATAGCTTTGGGACATGGAGAACATCTTTTAAGGTTATTAAAGGATTGATTTGGATATTTCCTTGACCAGCTGCAGTTATAAGGGTTCCATCTGCTGTGACAATTTTCTTGTTGCTGGGACATGGGGAATATGCGGAGAAGTGTTTGGCTAATGGTGTCATGTGGTCTGTGGCTCCAGAGTCGAATATCCAATAATGGTTAAAAGGTGTATATGAGACATTTAATCCAAAAGAGAATGGAAACTTACCTGGGTATGCCAAAGAACACACACCTGTGGGTTTTTCCAGCTTACTAAGAAAGGTTCTCACCCTTTCTATCTCCTCTTGATTAAGATGGGCAAGAACTTCTGGATTATTTCCTTCATTTGTTTCAGCAACAACATAAACTTGTCCTCCTTTCCTTGAGGAGCCTCCTTTGTGTCCCCCTTCTCAATCTCGGTTTAAAGGCTTCCCATGTAACTTCCAACACTTCTCTCGGGTATGACGAGGTTTATTGCAGTAGGTACACCAGAGACCATCACCTTCTCCACATTTGCTGATCCTCCTTTCTTCTGTTCGGTTACCATGACCAAAGTCTGATCTCCTTTATTGTCCAGTGCTGAGTTTTCTACTGTTGGACTCTCTAACATGAGACCCCTTCTACTTTCTTCACTTCTCACAATAGCCACCACTTAATTGAGGCATGGTACCTTTTGCTTCCCCAATATTTGAATCCTAACTTGATCAAATTCAGGATTCAAACCAACAAGGAAATCATAAACTCTGTCTTGTTCGATATACTCCTTGAGAAGTGCTGAATCTTCAGTACATTTGGCTTTTATGACTCTATAATGGTCTAGCTCCATCCACAATGATTTCAGCTGATTGACATATTCTGTAAGAGTCTTGTTCCCTTGTTTTGCTGCCAAAGTTTTCACCTTTACTCCATATACTTGAGCAGCATCTTTGGCTTTAGAGTAGGTTTGCTCTACAGCATCCCAAATATCTTTTGCCGAATTAAGGAACATGCAGGTGTCGCTGATTTTTGGAATCATTGAATTCCACAGCCACGCCATGATCATTGAATCTTCTTCATCCCATGTAGTAAACTTGGGATCCTCCTGTTTAGGTCCAGACTCCATCAGGTGACTTAACTTCCCCTTTCCCTTCAACACTGTACGAACAAGTTGGGTCCACTTCAAATAATTTCTTCCATTTAGTTTATATGCAGAATGAATATTCCCTGTTTCTGGGTTTGGATTCACAACTTCCTCTTCCCTTGACATCATAGCAAGGAGGTGTGATGCAACAGCAATGCAGGCTATCGTCTTAGGATTAAGAAAAATGCAGCAGCAATGCAGGCTGCCGTCTTAGGGTTAAGAAAAATGCAGCAGCAATGCAGGCTGCCGTCTTAGGGTTAAGAAAAATGCAGTAGCAATGCAAGCTGCCGTCTTAGGGTTAAGAAATATGCAGCAGCAATGCAGGCTACCGTCTTAGGGTTTGTCGCGCGCAGACAGAGCTTCCTAGATCGGAAGCTCTGATACCATGTTAAGATTCCAATATAAAACCAATTGGCAATATGTGGAGTAACCTAACATGTATTTAAACCATACCAAATGATATGAGGTAGGCGATGTGGGACTTTCAACAGTTTTCATGTACTACACTCTACAAAAGAGTTTATTTTTCTTTTGAATACAAAGTATCTTCTACCCATTATCATCCTTGATTTCCTCCCAACATGTTGTGGATATGTTAAATTGTTAAAGTAATATAGAGGGCTACTTCTCTTAGGATTTGGATTTGAGTTTATTTTATCTTGCTTCCTATTTAAACCTATTAGTTTCTTTATTATTTTTAACATTTCTATATTTTGGTGGTTCAAATATCTCTATTCCATACATTATCATTTCTAACTTTTTTTAAATAAATAAAGCATAAGGTGTTTTTATAAAGATAATTGGTATTTTTATTACACTAGTTAAAATTTATTTATTCTTATTCATTTGTATCATAACAAGATGGACTTTGTCTATGCTAAGAATAGATAAATTATTAAATATTGGGTGGAGGTTTCTTTTATCCATTTCTCTCGATATTCTATTACTAATAGTTATTACTTATTTCAACCTTACAAAATCATCTTGTAAGGTGAGGACCATATACTACTTATAAACTTTAATTTGTCTTATCAGTCGTTGATGTGAGATTTTCATGGAAACCCTAAATAGAAGTGGGATCTTCTACTAAATGGCACCTCCCATAGAATCTAGTAAATTCAAGGTCATTGTGATTGTGAGTTAAATTGCAATCAAGCATAAGTAAGAATAGGAACCAAAGATGAGTCTATCTTTGCTAAGTTTCAAACTAAATTCAAATATGGGTATGAAACCCATTTTATATTCAAGCATTTAATCATGGACGTAAAAAAGAGTAGTGAAGCAACAAAGTTAAATGAATAAGTAAAGTAAAAAGAAATGGAGAATCATGCTACTTGAGGATCAGAGGTGGATCTTGTGATGTGAAGGGGGGGGGGCATGTGCTACCCCCAAAAATTTTGGCCATGGCCCCTCATTTGATTTTTTTTCCTGTAAATATTAAAACAATTTATTAAATATATCGAATAAGAGAATATTTTATATTCTTTCATCTTCTCATATTCTTTTGCCTTTTCATATTATTTCATTAATGATATGTTATTTAGTCCCTCCAAAATCATTAGTCAAGATCTATTACTGCCTGAGATGACTCTTGAGATATGTGAGAAGAAAAATTAACCCACAAACTCTTGAGACTTAATCTACGCCTTCATAGTAGAGCATCATGTCCCAAGAAAATCTCACACACTTCACAAAGTTCACAATGTAATTCTAATTCATTCAATATTGTCCAACAATGATAATTTTTATAGATTGATTGGATGCCCAAGCATTAGGGTCTAAATCCTTCTCTATGTAGATGTCCAAACAAAGCAAAATAGGCCTAGAATCTTCCTAGTGAGTGGTTCCAGTTGTTCATGCCTTCCTTGCATAGTTTGAAAATTCAAAAGTTGATTCTAGAGTCATCTTGTCATTTGTTATGCCATACTTCCTTTGTGGGCATGCTTTCCTTGGTTCTTTGCCTTCACTTGATGTGCACTTGGATTCTTTGTTGGGCCTTTAATTGGAGTGTTCAATTAAACTCCAACAATCCATCTTTGTATTCAAATTAAAACTCAATAAAATCCTATTCTAAAATTACAAAGTAAACAAGTTTAAGTCCATGAAATACAAAAGTAAGAAAATGAAGACATGTTTTTGTGAGCAATGAGATTCCTAGTCATATTTCTTGTGATTCTTTTGAAATCAACTTGCTCCTTTTCTTACTCTACATCCATGCACTCATTAGATTTTCAACACACTCCCTCATTCTAAGGATTGAATATCTTGAGTGTGATGTTTGTAGGACTAGACATTTGTGCCTAGTTTGGTAACATCCCAGTAAGCCGATCAACAATCACTAAGATGGATTCACTTGATATTCAAAAACTGAGAAAAAGTGTTTTTAGAGGGCTTGAAGAACCCCTCTCATAGTTCTGTATTTATATAGATAAAAACTGATACAATAGGGAGATTACATTAAATGCACAGTCCTAGATTACTCCTCAGAACTAGGTGCAGAGATTATCTAACACTCAACCCCCTGCAAAGATTATCTAACACTCAACCTTCTACCTTAGGTATAATGATTACATATATTTTCTAATTTATTCCAACACTCCCCCTCAAGCTGGAGCATACAAGTTGTATGTACCAAGCTTGGAACAAATGAACTCAATCCGAGGTCCCCTTAAGGACTTGGTAAACACATCTCGCGAGTTGGTCATTTGATCCAACAAACTCGGTACATATTTCTTTTGTCAACAACTTTTCACGAACAAAGTGACAATCAATTTCTATATGTTTAGTTCTCTCGTGAAGTACGGGATTTGATGCAATGTGGAGTGCAGCTTGATTATCACAATACATCTTCATAGTCTGGATATCACAGAAGTTAAGCTCTTGAATGAGCTGTTTTACCCATATAAGTTCACAAGTTAGTGACGCCATTGCCCTATATTCGGCTTCAGCTGCCGATCGAGCCACTACATTCTGTTTCTTACTTTTCCATGAAATAATGTTTCCTCCAAGGAAGACACAATATCCAAGTGGTAGACCAGTCTATCAACAGGTGAACCCGCCCAATCTGCATCACAGTATCCAAGTGACTCGAATGCTTCCTTTATCTTCATATAACAATCCTTGTCCAGGAGCCTTTTTAAGGTACCTTAGAATGCGAATGATAGCATTCCAATGACCAAGCACATGGAGTCTGCATGAACCGACTAACCACTCCAACAAGCAAAAGATAGATCAGGCCTTGTAATAGTGAGATAAATCAGCTTTCCGACCAGCCTCCTATATCTCTCTCGGATCGGAGAATACTTCACCTTCTTCTGTTGTTAATTTCTTATTTGGGTCCATAGGACTCTCTACGAGTTTACAGATCAATCATACCTGTTTCTTGTAATATATCAAGAGCATATTTTCTCCGAGAGATTACAACTCCATCTTTTGATTGAGCTACTTCAATGCCCAAGAAGTATTTTAGGCTTCCCAAATCCTTGGTTTGAAAATGTCTCGCACAAGTACTCCTTCGATTGAGATATTCCAACAAGTATCATTTCCTGTAATGACTATATCATCAACATATACTATTAAGTAAACACATTTACCCGGAGATGTATGACAATAAAAGACTCGAATGATCTCGCTTCACTCGCGTCTTAGCCCAAATTTTTGAACAATGGAGCTAAATTTTCCAAACCAAGCACGTGGTGATTGCTTGAGGCCATATAGAGAACGATGCAATTTGCATACTAGTTCGAGACTCCCCTGAGCAACAAACCCAGGAGGTTGCTCCATGTAAATTTCGTCCTCAAGATCACCATGTAGGAAGGCATTTTTGATATCTAATTGATGAAGTGGCCGATGACGAATGGCGACCATTGCGAAGAACGGACGAATAGTGGTCATCTTGGCCACGGGAGAGAAAGTGTCACAATAATCAAGGCCATAAACCCGAGTGTACCCTTTTGCAACTAACCGAGCCTTGAGCCGATCAACTGCACCATCAGGGCCGATTTTAACGAAGCATATACCCAGCGGCAACCAACCGCCTTTTTGCCCGGTGGAAGGGGAACGAGCTCCCAAGTAGCATTATGGTCAAGAGCCTCGCATTTCGCAATCATGGCTTGTCGCCATCCAGGGTGATCAAGTGCTTCTTCCACATTTCTCGGAATAGCAATAGAAGATACTGAGGATATAAGGGAACAATAGGAAGGCGACAACCGGTGATAGCTAAGAAAATTATAAATAGGATGTGGGTTTCGAGTGGAACGAGTACCTTTTCTCAGAGCAATGGGCCATCCTGAATCACCTCCACCAGGAGTCATGGTAGGAAGCGATGTTGGAGAAGAATCTAAAGTGGGGGATTCACCCTCGTCTTGGAGAACAGGACTAGCCATCGAGGTCCTATGATTGACAACATCAATTTGAGGGGAGGATGGTTCAGGAAGACTTGGATCACTACTGAGATCGATAGACATTGGAAATATTAGACTCAACTACTGGAATGGGAAGAACTCCGTCGTATGACATGAACATCTTGAACGAAGGAGAAAAGTAAGAAGTCTGTTCAAAAAATGTAACATTGGCAGACATGTAGTACTTCTTGGTTTTAGGAGAGTAACACCGATACCCTTTTTGAAGGCGGGAATAGCCCAAGAAGACACTTTTGATAGCACGAGCAGAAAGCTTGTCTAACCCGGGAGACATATCATGAACAAAACATACACAACCAAAAACTCGAGGAGATGTGTGAAAGAGAGGATTATTTGGAAATAGAATGGAGAAAGGGATCTTATTATTGAGAGAGGAAGATGGCATCCTGTTAATAAGAAAACATGCAGTTAAGATGGCATCCCCCCAGTGATGGACAGGAATATGAGCACCCAGCAAAAGAGTACGTGCAGTTTCAACCAAATGTCTATTTTTTCTTTCTGCTATACCATTTTGTTGTGGTGTATGAGGACAGGTGGACTGATGCAATATTCCATGTGAACTCAAAACAGTAGAAAAGGTGGATGAGAAGTACTCTTTAGCATTGTCGCTTCTTAAAATTTTGATTACTTGACTGAATTGATTCTTAATTTCATTCAAAAAGGATGTAAAGATGGGTAACAATTCAGAGCGATCTTTCATAAGATAAACCCAAGTACATCGTGAATATTCATCAATGAATGTAACAAAATACCGAAAACCAAAAGATGAGATGCGACTGGGTCCCCAAATATCAGAATGGATAATAGAGAAACTGGAAGTACACTGTGATTGAGACCGTTTAGGAAAGGTAGATCTAACATGTTTCCCTAGCTGACATGACTCACATTCTAAGGTCTGGAGACCACTAAGTTCAGGACACATTCTTTTTAATTTTGACAAATGAGGATGGCCAAGCCGATCATGTAACATTTTAGGGCTCGGAGTAGCAACACAGGACACACGTGGACGAGGACCAAAAAGGTATAATCCTCCAGCTTCATATCCTTCTCCAATCTGTCTCCCCGAACCACGCTCCTGTATAACAAAAGATTTGTTATCGAAGGTTATTGAACAATTTAAGGTTTTGGTTAACTGACTTAAGGAAATCAAATTGAAAGGACAATTAGGAATAAAAAGGACAGAGTTTAGGCTTATGGAGGGAGATAAAGAAACTTGGTCCACTCCCTTTGAGGAAGCTTTAGAGCCATCTGCAAGGGTTATGAAATGTTGTTTTTCTTGAAAGGAAATGGTTGAGAACAAGGAGGTATTACCAGATATATGATCAGAAGCACCAGAGTCAATTATCCATGAATTTTGACCCTCCATAGATTGAGAAATGCAAGCAGTTGATGTGCTGGCAGTTTGAGAGGTATGTGCCAAGCTATTAGACTTTAACCGTAGATAATCTTGGTATTCGTCCTCAGTGAACTTGGAGTTGACGGTTTCAGCCTTGGAGACATTGGCAGTTTTGGGAGGAAAACCATGCAAGGAGTAGCAGTTCTCCTGTGTATGACCCATCCTCTTACAGTAGGTGCATTGGGGACGTCCTCGACCTCCACGTCCTCCTCCTCTGGTGCCACGTCCTCCTCTTCCTCGTGTGGCAACCATGGCAGATGGTTCTACTAGAGCCAGAGCTTCCTGAGTCTCAGACATTGGTACACGAATCAGACGTGTGATAAGGGTATCCATGGAAGGGACTTCATAAGTGGTCAGAAGTTGATCTCTGATATGGTTAAAGTCAGGATGTATTGCGCGAAGGATCATCACCATGTAATACTTGTCAAGCTTCTTTTTCATTTCATCTAAGGAATCGACTTCCAAGAACATCTTGAGTTCTTCCACAGCCGACTGGGCGTCATTCATAAAGGACACCATATCATGATCTCGTCATTTTTAGAGATGCCAGCTTATTTGCGGAATCGTAGAGACGTTGAATATCATTGGCATAAATGGTTTGAGCTTTCTTCCAAAAGGAGTGACAAGTTTTGAAGGCTCTAAGCGACATCAAAAGTCTTGGTTCCACCGATTGCCACAATAGAGCACATAGCCGAAAATCGCTGCTTTCCACCTGTTCAGCCTTTTCTTCCGCACATGGCTTCCGTCTTTTTCAAGGTGGTCGTGATGCCCCCGACCGAGAAACCACATTTCGACGGTAGCATACCAAGATAGATAATTTTGTCCGTTTAGTTTTTCTGAAGTAATGGAGGGGCTTCCAGAGAATGAAATTGCAGCCATTTCTGATCAAGAGGACAAAGACCAGTGAGGAGGGGGGCGAAAACAGCAAAGAAGTCCGAAAGCCCAAGAGTGATTTTCGCAAGGGTGACTACTGGACTTCACCGAAATGAAGAGGCAGCGCGTGGCGGAGAACAAGCTTCCGGACCGACGGGTTGGCTGTCGCACGGCGAGACGATTCGGATCCGGTGGTCGCCGGCGAAAACTGGACGATCGGAGACGGTGGCCGAGTCGGACGGTGGCCGGAGTTGGACGGTGGCCGAGTCGGACGGTGGCCGGAGTCGGACGGTGGCCGAGTCGGACAGTGGCCGAGTCGACGTGGCAGACAGCTGGCAAAAACAAGTGCCGGATACTACAGAACAGAGCGAGCGGGATCGACCCGCTCCGATACCAACTTGATATTCAAAAACTGAGAAAAAGTGTTTTTAGAGGGCTTGAAGAACCCCTCTCATAGTTCTGTATTTATATAGATAAAAACTGATACAATAGGGAGATTACATTAAATGCACAGTCCTAGATTACTCCTCAGAACTAGGTGCAGAGATTATCTAACACTCAACCCCCTGCAGAGATTATCTAACACTCAACCTTCTACCTTAGGTATAATGATTACATATATTTTCTAATTTATTCCAACAGATTCTAATACTATCTTAAAATGTGAGTCTAATTCAAACCACAAAAAACTGGTTTGTAAGGTAAGTGCCACGCTTCACTTCTATGCTTTAATATGGTCATATTACTAGTTAGTGTGGGATCTCCAATTTCCTCTAATACTTATTTTTAATTGAGATGTTGGAAACCAACATCTTAGCTACAAATTTTCCAACATTTGCATTTTCGACTGATGATTAGGTTCCTTTTTAACATTATTAGAGTATAGCATTTTCCTTTGCTTTGGCATGTATAGTTGTTGGAATTTTCTTTGTAAATGTGTGAAACAGAATTTTTATGAGAACATATTAAATTCTCTTCTATGAAGCGCAAACACAATACACAACATAGACACGGGAACATGGCTAAATTAAAAACATGGGACACAGGGACATATATATATTTTGTCCTTATGTGTTGAAGCGGAGAGTGAAAAAGAAGGCTAAATTTGGAAAGGAAGGTAAAAAATGAAAAAAATCGCAGCTATCAATTATAATATAAATAACTCTAATATTCATAAACCTCTTCTCTCAATAGGAGAATTAAGGTTTGCTTGATTTAGTTTTTAAAAACACTTTTGAGATCAATTTTAAAAAATTGTTTTTGAAAATAAGTTGGAAAAAAACTTGTTTCAAAACTCTATTTCTGAAAACTATTTTAGACGACAAAGAATGTCATATATGATTATGAAAAGTTGCGGTGAAAGTCCGAAAATGATTTTCATAACTTTATAGCGATAGAATGAGTGATTTAGTGTAATTATTGTGAAAAATGTTGATATTCATTATTGAAAACAGAAAATACCTGTTATCAATTTTGATTTTAGTTTTTAAAAACTAAAAATCAAAAAGAGTTTTTAACAACAGTTATCATTCAAGTTTTGTAGTTTTTTAAAATTAAAAAACTGTGAAAACTGTTTTTAAAACAGTAAACAAACAAGTCCTTATCTTGATGACCTATTGTAGCCTCTACTATATTTCAATATTTATCGAACATTATATAAAGAAACCTTTATTATAAAGGTAAGGTCATGTGTTCAAATTCTAGAAGCATATTTACTTATGGAGGAAGGGTGCAGATGTCCTCCCCAGACCTTACCAAGTGGGTTGCCTTATGTATAGGCTCATAAAATACAATAGTTTAAAGAAGTACTATTAACTTTGGTGGAATTCTCCTTTTTCTTTATGCATTCTCTTCTTTTATCAAGAAAAGTCTGTGGGATCTAGTGGTTAAAAAATTGGTAAAGTTTCAAATTTCATTTTCAGTCATTTGATCTTACATGAAAGAGATAATGAAGGGTTTTATTTTCCATTATAGCCCTAAAATAAAGCTTGCAATTTTTTTTCATTATTTTTTTCTTGATATTATATGTATTATATTTTAGATCCTGTCCTATTATGGGTTCTGCACGTGCTGATTAATGGTTTCTGATACTGCTTTTAGAACTATAAGTATATGGCAGAGTTTATAAGGGATTACAGTATACTGGCCCATAAGCGAGAAACTTCTGCTGTTCAAGGAGTCATCATTGATTACCCAGCATACGTTTTGGTCTTCTTAATTCATGTCCTTGCTTGGAACAATGACTTCCCAATTGAAGTCTGTCCAGATGAAAAAGTTTATGCTGACCTGTGCAGGTAGTATATTGCAATTATCCTTCATATTTTAGTTTTACTAATTATGGCATATGAACATACACCCTGAAGATGGTGACACATCTTGATTGCTTCTTTGTAGTCCACTTTTCATTATCCTGCAAGCATTACTTGACATCAATATTGTTGATGGTGACCTGGACATTGTTAATCATGCTGTCCTACATATAGTTAGTATTTTTCGAGCAATCAGAAAGGTTGAGGATGCTGTTGATGCGCAGATGACAACTGTAAAATTCTTTAATCATGTTCTTCATTAATTACTTGCTTTTTGTTGTATGTAAGTTTTATTTGAGTTTTGTGAAATGCAGAAGCTGCATATGCTGGCTGAAATTGGGATATTTACTTTAAATAAATTAAATCATGGTGGAATTCCTGTATTGCAAACACCTGGACAAATTTTATTGCCTTCATCATTATATAGAGTGAGTCTTTTTAAGAATGATGTAAGCTTTCTTGAGGGATTTCCATCTTTGCTTCACACAGAAGTTTAATCAGTTTCTAAATTATAATTTTTCGCTTAATACGGTTAGTTGTTTCCTTATTCATTCAATTTGTTGCTTTGGATGAAACTTCTAATTGCAGACAAGTTCAAAATGTCCGAAGTCATTTTTTGATGAAAATTTTCTAAGTAGAGTCTTTCACGCACTCAAGGAATTCACTCTGGCTCATGTATATGCTCAAAAGGTATGTTTTTGATAAACACTATTGACGATATATGTTTCTCATTTCTTTTTAATGGTGCCGTTTTTTTTTATTTTATCTTCTTTTTTTGGTGGTGGGGGATGCTTTCAGACAGCAAAAACACTTCCTAAGCATGTTCATAAAGGTCAACAAGATGTTAAAAAGTCTAATATTAATATTTATGGTGTACTGGACTTGGCATCTAGCAAACGAGATGATTTGTCAAGAAGAGAAATAGCAAATGTTAAAACTGCGAAGCCAAACATCCCTTCGGTGAAAAGGAGAAAATGTGTGCCTGTGTCTACTTCTGGATCTGTTGGTTTGCATGAATGCTCTACGATTGAGAAGCAACAAAAATTACCAACAATAGAGAGAAACATGCTTTCGTCAATTGATTCTGTGTGCTCTAAGGGTTCTCTGCATGAATCACATGTGCCAACCCGAAAATCAAAAAGAGTTGCTGCTTCTTTGTCGGAGAATGCTGTGACAAGTAGCAAACGTACTTTTGAACCTCTCAAATGTCCTAGAACCAAACGGAAAGATACATGTGGCTCAAAGGTTGGTGAGAAATTCTTTCAAATATCAGAAGTTTAAAACTGTTTGCTGTACTTGCATGTTCATTTAAGTATATTTCATGACAAAGACATTTATAAAAAAATTAATTTAATTATAATGCAACAATAATGTAAAGGTTTTTTAAATTAATTTTAAAGAAGACAAAATATGAGAAATTATTTTTCGTTGGTTGTATTTCTCTGTATATCCTGATTTTATAAACAAGTGTATGGAACAAAAGGGGCAATAAATCTCCCTAATAAATAAAAAATACAGCAAATAATCTCCCTAATTATGACAGTAAAAAAAACAGATCCCCTAATCTGTTTGTTTCACAAAACAATGCATATCCTAAAGTATGTAGCCATAAATAGGCAAAACATTAAAATCATAATAATATAAATATTAAGAGATTCTACAGAATCTGGGTAACTACTGGATATCTTCCAGCACATTTAATTACAAATGGACATGTTTAAATTTGTTAATTTTTATACTAACTATTATAGAAGTCATGCTTGGGATGATATCTGAGTGGTTGACAGTCAAATTTTACTTTGACAATGCATGAAATATGAAAGCTAAACTCATGAAAATAAATATGATGTGGATAAAACTGTAAAATGTCAGCTTTCTCTCTGTTCTTGCTTACTCAAGCCTTAAGGATTGTTATTGCTAGATATGAACCGTTCTTAGTCTATTGCATTCTCTGTTCACATTTAGGATGATTTGGCTGATTGACATGCTGTCAGAGTTTCTTTGAAAATAAGCTCATGAATTTGATCGTTTCCACCTTTTCTCTAAAATCTTCTACTATAAGGCTTGAGGAGTCTTGATTTTTCTACTTTTCTTTTCCTTTAACTACTTGTTGAGAAGATAGCGGTATGCTTTTTGGTTAATGATTGTTGTGCAATCAACCCTTATCTTGTGGCTAACTCCCAACTGCCATCTAAAAACTAGTTTTAATAAATCCCTTGCTTTTAGCTTCATTTTGTCCTTACTCATCTTTTGTCCTTTTACTATGTTGCCAAGTGTGTTTCCTGTGGAAACAATTCTTATGAATGTCATTTGACTTTTTGATGCAGAAACAGGATATATTGGAAGATGTTTCAAATAAAAATAATTTCAGCCTCCGGTGAGTTTTATGATAACTTTTTGCTTTCTAGTTTTTTACCCTTTTTTTTTATTGAAGTAATCGAGTTCTATTTTCTTTGAACAGTGTCGAGTCCGTAGAAGAATATCTATAATATCATTAGATCCTTTTCAGCGCAACAAATTTGAATAAAATCAATTCAGATATGTTTAAAATTACATGGATTTATTTCTTGTGTTTAGCATTGTTAATGGGTAGGTAGAGTGGGGTTGACGTTTATCTTACCATTAGCCAACTCCAATAAAATAGTTTAGGTTGGATTGAAATAAAAATGATTGGGGGTGGGAGGAGCCGAGGGGAGTCCTGTAATGGCTAAAATTGAAATAATGTTGGAAGTATGGGGTTTTAAGTGTAAAGGAAAAAGAGAGAAAAAGGATTGCATATAGTTCAATTGATATTAACTTGACTTAGTAGTATTTTATAATATGCCACTTGATTAAAACCACTCTTAATTTCTGTTGATTATTTTCCCCCGCTTCTTCCATTTTGATACAATGGTGGCAGTGAGGGAACTTTTAAGCCTAAATTATTGAAGTTTACCTGTCAAAAATCATCATAAAGTAGTCCATTAATATCCATGTTTTTGCAGTTTCATGCCAATGCTGGTATCTCATTTCTGATTGTCACCATTTTATTTTTTTCATTGCCTTGAGACTTGAGCAGCCTGTAAATTTTACATGGTATCAGCTATTCATCTTGTTTTCCGTATGACTTATGTTTAACATGCCGTTTTTTTGTCTTCAAAGAAAAAAAATAAAAATAAATAAAAGGTTTCTTGTTTCATGTTGCAGTGAACCTAGTGAATATCCTTCTCCTGGTAGTATAAAGGCTGCAGTTACAGGACGCATTGCCACCGAAGAGGAAACACCACCGAATAAAGAAAATAGTAAGTAGTGCAACAACCAGCTAATGGATCCTGTAGCTGATATTTTGTGTTCCATGGTCCGTGCGTGTAGAGGCAACAATCACTGCCACAAAGATAACTCAACAATATTTTGTTTTCTGCTACTTGTTGAACCATCATGGTTCACAAGATTCACTTGTATGAATATTTGGGATTTTTTATGCCTTGGAGAAGTTTTTTTCAATAATGTGAATTTTGGTGCAGCAAATGTAAATGCAAGGGGAAAACGCATGGAGACATCAGCTTCAGAAGTTGTCAGTACACATGCAAATGCTGTAAAGTCTTGTCCAGATATATTTTGCTGCCCTATTCAACAAATGCTTATTTCGCTTTTTGAATTTTAGTTGCTTATTTTCAGGTTAGAAGAGCAAGACGGAAACTGTAAATATTGTGCCGTGTTCCCACGGACAGAGCTTTGAAGACCGCGTATTCTAAGCCATGAGCTAAACTGCAGCATGTGTTTATGCATCTTTTAATCCTGCATCCACGTGTTAATACTTTATAGTCGAACATTTGCCTTTTCTTGTATATTTTTTTGTGATAAAAAGAACATGTTATAATTTGTATCAATCTATAATAATATATGCAATAGCACCCATTTCAAAATCAGGGTGATATTTTGACAATTACAAATCATACAACATTTTAAATAACTTACTTTTATTAATATAATAATCTATAAATTGATTTATTTTTAAATCTATAAATTGATTTAATAAAAATAAAGTAAAATTATTATTATAAACTTATTTTTATTAATATAATAATCTATAAATTAATTTAATAAAAATAAAGTAAAATTATTATTATAATATTATTATAGAGTTATTTATCAGATTCGAATGAATTTAGGTTGTTAAAGTATTTTTTTTCTTTAAAAATATTAAAAAGTGAAGGGATCTTATTAAATCCTGTTAAGAAAACGTAAATGAGAAAGTCTTCGTCTATTTCTACAATAACCATAAGAAATATAAGGAGGAACTTTATCTTACCAAATAAAATCAACACCTCTAACACCCTAATTAATCAAATTCCTAGCATATTTATTGCCTTATCTATAGATAAAGAAAAATCAGAAATTCATCCTTTTGATCAAATTCGGCATTCACATTTGTTCTTCAATCTATTAGAAGCTAACATCTTGTCACTTACGGTGGGTAAAGAATAAGTTTTAATCCAAATCGAATTCCGACCCTTCTGATTAGCGCTTCCTCCAAATAAAAAATCACTCATAATCTCAACTTCATAGGTAGTGCCAACATGAAGTGCGTCAACTTTTTGAGTTCCTAAAAAATGTCACAAGTTGATAATTTCTCGTGCTTTAAGTAGGTTTAATTCATGGTGCATTTAATCCATCCAGAAATCGGAGGATACCAGTTAACTTAATGGCGTTTTCTTTCTTCTTAACATAAAAGTAACATTTAAAACTTTTTTAACTTTAAATTCAGAAATAAGATAAATTAACAGCACCTACAATAATGTTCGGGAGAAATTTATTTAAAAAAAATTATTATCATATACGAAAATAAATGTGACTTGAAATGAAATGTCTAGTTGAGTAAAAAATAAAAGTATTAGTAAAAAAGAACCAAATGTAAAATAAATTAACAATAAAGTACAAAAATTTATAAGGAGTAACATTAAATTAAGTAATTAATCTATAATTGACAACAGTATCCTAAACCCTAAACATTACACGTAAATTAAAAACTTTTTTATTTCTCAATTGGATAACATTCTAATTCTAATTGAATTTGTCTGTAATTAATTAAACAAAATGTTTACATTGAATAAATCGTTATAGTTGTTACTTTTTAGTAGATTATATTAATATTTAAATTTTAACACTCAATCTATTATTTTAGCTAAGATAACTATTTAAAATTTTAAAATTTAATTTTTAATATCTGGTAAATATAGCACATTTTAAGTATTTATTATATGATTTTTTTTTCTCAAAATCTTAATAGACGTTTACATACTAGAAAATCAGTCTGAACCAAACGAACAGGTGAAATTTAACTAACTCGTTTGTTTATTAAGTGGATTTGACTTTGTGCAGAAAAAGACTAGAAATTTCAAATAAATAAAAATTAATCAATATAAATTTCATTTTCTCTCCTAACCTAGATAGACTGATCCGTAAACACTTATGCTTTGTATTACTGAATTAAATAATAAAATAGGAAATTCAAGTTTATTCTTTAAAAATAAAAATAAAAATAAAAATAAAAAACTGTAAAAATTAATAAAGTTAATGTTGTTTCACTTTGAAGTAAAGAGGGTGAGTGTTAATCTGTCTAATGGAATAAATCCGTCAAAGTGCAAAAGCAAAACATCTGTTTCGTGCGCCTTCAACCCGTCAAGGCTAGATTCGCTGCTTGTTCCACCAACTTTCCAGAAGACAAGTATCTCTCCTTTACTCTATAAAACATGACCCTCTTCTTCATCTTCAATTAGTTTCTTTTTCAATCCATTCTTTCTGCCATATCTATGGCTCATAATCACATCCCCACCGATTCTCCTCTCTCTCGTCGCATAGTTCGTGCCTTTATCCGCTTCCTGAATTCTGGTACTATACTTCTCATTCATTCCTCGCCAGGAATCAGTTCCAATTTTGTTGCCACTGCAATATTTTATCTTTATCGCGTATTTATTCTTATCGAGCAATTTTATGAACTGGGTCGATTTATTTTGTCGTGATTAATTAGGTTCGAGTTGCCAATTGTCGTTTTAATCGTATTAAGTTTAATAGGGTAGAGAAAATTTGTTAAATGATGTTCATTTATGTTGTCAAATTTGTTTCTTGGTTTTTAACTTTTAGTTTCTTTTCTCATTTTTACGGTCATTGTATGCTCTCTAACTTGGTTCTTGTGGAATAGTCGAATCGGTTCGTGGGGTTGATGCTGAGGAGATTGAGGTTGCTAGAGAGTGTTTGACAGAGGCTTTTAAGCTTAATTCATATCCTGTGGCTGGTGATGTGAAATCTGATTCTTTGATTGACATATTCAAGTCTCTTGAAGCTAACAAGCAATGTGAAACTAGTAAGTCAGATGTTGGTACTCGACGGGATTGTGCAAATGCTTCCAGTTCATTCCCTGGTGAGAATCCTGCTCGTGGGATGAGTTATTCTGAGGCGTCAAAATCTACGGTTAATCCACTTCACACTTACCTCTTATGCCATTGATTAGACCAGTTAATTTGTGTCAAATGTTAACTGTTTTGGTTGTTATATTTTAATTTTTTTTGGTGGTGCCTTATTCTTTGATGGATTGAGTTCATGTTTTCCCTCATCTGTATAGTTGATTGGAATCTGCTTGTCTTTTTTCATGTTTCACACGTTTCTTCAATTGTTCTTATTTAATCAGTGCATTGTGAGTATCTGACATGCCATTTACCCAACCATTCAAATACACATATAGTTTAACATCTTGTTTTACCATGTACCCAACTGTTGAAATGATCGAGATTTATGTTGAGAAGGAGGAACAGAGAACAAAATTTGAATAATGGAAATATAATTTCAAGATTCACTCTAGCTAACAAGTTCAAGATTTACCATGTGCCAAATATGAATAAATCCTTACAGAAAATCTATCATAAATAGCTCGTGTTTTACTGAACAAAACCAGAAATCTATTGCTTGAAATAAAAGTTCTACCAATAACCTAGCAACCTTACATTATAATATACACCAACTATATCTGCTCTTGGAAGTCTTCTGCAGTTGGCATCAGAATGCATAAACTTGATGCATCAAAGTTCTTTCATATGCCTGTAGGCTCAATGCCTTGAAATTTGTGGTAGTTACAAAATGGGCATGCAGTTGCACTATCTTTATTTTCATTATTTATTACTGGAGTGAATGACTACTTATCAGGTAGCAGCAAATAACAGCTTTTTTCTCTTGGACAGAATTGGCACAGATAGCTGGAAGTAATAATAAAACTGAAAGTGTTAAGGCATCAGTATGTTGTTTGTCATCCCAAACCATGTTGACACCTCAAACAAATATGCAGAGCAAACTCAAAATATCACAAAAAGAAGAAAATACAAAATAATGGGAGTACCAAACCTGACCCACTAATCCCTAACCTATAAAAGGGTAAATCCAATCTATCTTTGTAAAACTCAGGATAAATGATGCAAGAAACACTATCCCACCAAGTATAACTCTGAGATCTAGTGCCAAACTCAACAAGTTTATCAACACATTGAATACTCTCTCTAAAAATATGTGAAAAATTAATTCATATGGTACTATTATTTAATAAATAATTCAACCATCTATTATGCAGATCCCAATAAATAATTGAAGTATTGGACTAAGCTTCAATAACAAGTTGAGAATCACACTTAATCCAAAGATTAGTTCAATTTTTGGAGATTACCAAGAATCACACCCATCACATTTGTAGGAGTGTGATTTAAAACCATTCATGTGACTTACCTAATAGCTTAAACTTTTGGTGTGGATGATTCATGACTGTAATATATATAGTTGATTTGTGGTTAAGCTGTTGAGGAACAAATTAGAAGATTAAGTATAACTTTTTTTTGCATGCTTTAGGAGTAATATTGGTTTTACTAATCATAGTTGATAAACAGTTTGATCTCACATTCATGCTGAATTATTACATGAAGTATCTCTCTACTTTTACTGTTCTAGTAGCACATCTCACAATCACATAAAAATTGTGTCTTGATGAATTTTTGATTCAGTTCTGATTTATTTCATTACATGTAACAGGATAAAGATTCAACACAGGAACCTCGTGCTTTTGGTAGGATAATATGTTCCCTTTATTTATTTGAAATTTGATTTATTGTTCACTTTTAGACTTGTTATTTAAGCTCGGTCAAATACTTCTATTATTCCTTGGATCTTCGTGGGAAATGACATTACTAACAAAGTATTTGGATAGTCATATTTATGAAAGTTGTTGAAAAAAGAAAAACCAAGAAGGCAGATGATGAATTTAGTGTGTTATAGAATATTGAGTTACCCTAATTTAGGCTAATAACAGAAATATCATCAGCTGATCTTAATATTATCAATTATTATATCCTGTACGATTCTAATGTATCTATAAGATTCTCTCAGGAGTAAACGATATAGTTTTGTAATATATTTTTGGATGAAAATATATTAATGTGTTTATCATATCTATTCGATTTTTCTGATTGTGAATGGGTAGAAGGGCAGGGATTAAAATTTTCTTATCAACTACTACAACTACAACAACAATAGTATTATCCTACTAAGAAAAGGCTGTACTCAGCCAATGTTGTGGGTCCCAGCACAAAACTATTGTTTTGGATCCTTCACTTCAAAAAATTAATATAATATCTTGTGGGCCAATAATCCATATATCATATATTAAACAGCATAAAGATGTTGTTTTTGTTAATTATGATGCAAAAAAGGTTTTGTTAATCTAGGCTCTAGAGGAGTCTAGTTAGTTAGCTATTGTTTTGTGTACCTTGATCATAGGGTAAGATATATATGGACAAAAGGATATATTAAATGGAATGGAAAAATGTTATATTTCTAAAATCTGAAAATCATACACCATATATCTTTCTTTTCTATTAACATCAGAGATGAATGCTATTTTTTTATTTTTTACCATGTATCATTAAGGTGCACATTTACCAAAGATAAGATATCCTCTAAAAAAAGGAGAATAATTACTAAAAGAGAGTGATAATAACAACCCCAAGAGAATGATTTCTGAATTGTGTTTGGAGTGAACCTATTTTTAAAATGTTTCAAGTAAAGTTGCATTGATATGCTTAATATTTGAGTGCAGTGTCTAAAGATGACCTGTGTGGCCAATTCTTTGCTGCTCTGGAGAAAAATAACTATTTTAGGAGAAATACTGATGGGAGTGATGACCCGGTGCAACTGGAGAAAGCATCTTCTTTATTTGACGAGGCTTGTAAGGTATGACATTATGTCATGCATAAACATATGTTGCATTTACTACAGTTGTTATTTTATTAAATTTGGCTTATTTCTATCTTGATATACACAAATTCATTCAAATTTACTGAAAAATGCAAAAATAAATTAATACGATGCTACTCATTTAAAATCAGAACCCAACATAATGCATGAGTATCAACCAATAATCTCTAGATTTAAACCTGTACTTGTTTGGTCAAGAACCCATCGCGTGTTTGATTTATAATTTTAATAGAGAGTTCTATACATGAACCTTAGGTTCTAGGACCATTCTGTTTACTTGTATAACTCAAAAAAATGTAACAAGCTGGAATTCTTTGTGTTCTATTCTTAATTTGTCATGTCTAGCGCAACTTGAGGAAGCAGGTTGGAACTTCAGAAATTAGGTGTAGTTTTGGTGTTATTAGAATTTCCCTCTTCAAATTGAGAGTCTAATGGTGATTCTCTGCCACTTTATGAAATTTATTGTAGGATGAGAAATGTTGGTGGAACTTGTTAGAGTTGGTAGAGGGACAAGGAAGACAATGACCTATACGAGAGCATGTTCAGCACAAAAGAAACAACATAGAGAAAACAAATCCTCATTGATTTCAAGAATTAGTGCATGTTTGTTCAGCTTATTCTAGAGAAATAATCACATACTTTTGACTGGTTGTTGGGAGAGATTTTGAAAAATATGTAATTAATTTTGAGAAACAGTTGCAAGTGTGTGTTTAGAGAATCCCTGACAAGATAATTTTACTGATTTGGTTAGATTATTACTGTTAAATAGAAAGAAGTTTGGGAAACTTGATTCAGTATAGGTGCTGCTAGTCTGTGTTCATATTCAATAAATTAGGCTAGCAGTGCAATGTAGTGCAATATAATACCGAGCATAAATGTCTAGGGAAGAAATGTTTAGATGTGTCATAGTATGATAATTAAGTTTACCGACCAATGTCATGTAACTATCTTGTTTAAGTAGTAACCTCCATAATGTGTAACGGACATTTAGAACATCGAAGTGTCACAAGGTCTTGTTCTTATCTTATTTTGATGAAAGTAATTAATTTCTCTTGTATATTGTTGTACAATTATTTATACATAAAATCTAAATCACTCCCGTAAGTTTAGGGATTATGAACAAGGTATTTAAGGAAACTAAATATGATTGAGCTGTCTGATAAACATTAGGTACCTGAGGCATCCACCCTTAAATGCTATATTTTAAGAGGGAAGAACCAAGCACTAGAATGATCTACCAAGCATAAACATATTACTTAATGTTAGACACCCCATCATACCCAAGTCCCTACCATAGCACCACTGATGAGAGTCAACATCATCAACATCTCAGCAGCTCCCACTCTACCAGTCGGAAGAATCCTATAAGCACTTGAACACTTAAGAAACTCATCCTTATAAGTTAGTAGTTAAAGGGAGAAAACCAAACACTTAAATTAGGGTGAATTGAACACTAAAGAAACTTATCCTTATAAGTTAGTAGTTAAGGGGAGAAAACCAAACACTTAAATTAGGGTGAATTGAACACTTAAGAAACTTATCCTTATAAGTTAGTAGTTAAGGGGAGAAAACCAAACACTTAAATTAGGGTGAATGCAGAAATAGAATACGTCAACTTGCTATCTCAACATATCTGAACAGTTCCAACTTGCTGATCTTAAAGGGGAGATTCAAGAATATATATGCCAATCTAGTTAGAGATTTTGGTGCAACTCAACATTTCAAGTCTAAGCATAACCTTTAGCAACTAGCCTATCCTTTTCAGTAACAATCATTGCACACATCTGTTGTATACAAATTTCACATTTAACAATAAGCAAAGTAAGATCCCATGTTTGGTTATGCTCTATAGCTAGCATTCCCTCTTTCATTCCATTCCATCATGAGTCAGGGTCTTAGGTTTGTTTTGCTAATTGAGACAGATTCAAAGAATCAACAAGGGATTTGGTGGAAGGAGAGAATTGCTCATATTGCATAAAAGAATCAGGAAGATATTGAGTGATATGAAAGTTTACATCATAGGAATGGGAAGATCTTGAGATGCAAGAATGGAAGAAGGGGGTGAGTTGGCAGAAGAACCAGGTTCATCCATAAATGAGTTGTTTGAGATGGGTAGGAAGAGCTCGAGGATGATGAATATGCAGTTGCAATCCCGAGTTACTTGATAAATGTGCATCAGTATTTCTGCTACTATTCTTGTTATATTATGTAATTTGTTTTAATTTCTTGATTTTTGTCTGTTTAATTCCACAACAACAGTATTCAAGTCTTATATCACTTGATGGGGTTGTCTATGATGATTGATCAATGCGATTGGACTAATGGGTTCTATTAAAAAACAAATTTAGTAAAACTGTCTGTTTAATTCTGATGAAATCTGCTTCTATGTAGGAGATGGAAAGATCTGGTTGTCAGCAGTTTAATTTGAAGGATTTGGCTGAATCGCTAAAATCGTTAGGTATGATAAGTGACTTTTACTTTATGAAGCTTGACTTTTTCCTTGGATCTCTTGAACACACTCAAACTGTGACATAGGGGATGTGTAGAACCTCTAGGCATGGAAAGAAACCTGAACTAGTGACTACCATTTTGATCCAAACTGATTTAGCAGGAAAAACCCACTTTGAATGGGTTTGGGGATGCACCTTTCCACCCCATCTCTGTCCTCTCCTAGCTACACTTGTTTTTTCATATATATAAACATATATACACACATGCACACTGCAATTGGTGTTATTAGATTATTTTTCAATTTGAATCCATGAACGCTTGTGAAAGAATATTGATAGATTTTTGTAAGATTATTTGGTACTTAAAAGTTTCTTTTCACTCAGGAAACAAGGCAATGCAATCTAAGAAATACAATGATGCAATTGAGTTGTATAATTGTGCCATTGCACTCAATGAAAAGAGTGCTGTTTACTTCTGCAACAGGTATTCCTCTGGCTTAGACTGTTAATATATTTATTATTGTTATGGGTATGCTTGACCTAGCTTTTTTTCTGCTGAGAAGCTACTTCAAGATTTAAGTTAGAAATAAGAACTTAAAAAAAAAGTAAAGGTTGTTTGTCAGTTTTTCTGGTTCAGAATAGCATAGGCACCAGCTTATTTACTGATAAATCTTCATTTTGTGCCTTCATTTTTTGACATATATATCAGGGCAGCTGCTTACACTCAGATTAACAAATATGCAGAAGCAATCCAAGATTGTCATAAATCTATCTGGATTGATCCAAACTACAGCAAGGCATTTAGTCGTCTGGGTTTAATTTATTATGCACAAGGAAATTACAGAGATGCTATTGATAAAGGGTTTAGAAAAGGTTGATAAAGAGTTATATTCACCCCAAAAGTTTATTCTTATAATCTGTTTTATTTTATTGTTTTACTGGAGATCATCTGGAGAATATTGACTTCATTGTTGTTATCTACTGTTACATATCAAGGTGAATGGTGGAGATCCCCCACCTTAACTTTGCAATATTAATCAAATTAAGTTTTTCTCAAAAGCTCATAAATGATTAGTTTCTTTTTTGTCAATAGAGTTTTTTACACCTGCAGGAGCATGTTATGAACATTATAGTCTAACAAACTGATTATAGTGAAATGCATTCTGTATTTATCAGACTTTAAATGTAATTAATGTCATTGTAAGTATTGAATCAGAGCTATTTGGAATTTGGAAATTTTAAATCCTTTATCTTAAACTCAATTTTAAAACTTTAACATGTTTTGTATCTCTGCAGCCTTGCAGTTGGATCCAAATAATGAGTCTGTCAAAGAAAATATAAGGGTTTGTTCTGTTATAACCTTTCCCTCTGCTTCTCTTGTCGTTTTCTATGTGACTGTAATGCTGCATTTAAACACAGGTAGCTGAGCAAAAATTGTTGGAAGAGCAACACCGTGCATATCACAACCAGGTACTATTATTATTATTATTTAAACTTTATCATATTTGATATTTGTGGTTCAAAACTACATGTCTTTCCTCCAGGTATTATTATTATTATTATTTAAACTTTATCATATTTGATATTTGTGGTTCAAAACTACGTGTCTTTCCTCGATATTTATTTTCTTCCTTCTAGACATAGTATTTTAGGGTGTTTGTTTCATGAAATTATATTACATTTTCAGGAATCATATTCCTTGAAATATTATAAGCTTTAAATATTATTTCTGGGTACACATTTAAAATGATCATTGGTTACATTTTACTTCCTATGACTAATTTTTTAAATTTAAAATCATTTAAATAAAAATAAAAAGAGCATGTATAATAATGAATAAATTTTCATATTCCTCCTATGTAAATACCTCTTTTTCACATCTTCATTTGGAGAATAAAAGTTACCTAAAGAATGAAAAATAGAAGATAAAAGACTGGAAACCATTTTGATGACCTTCTAACAAACACTAATAAATATTTTTATCTTCATATTTTGTGAGTAAAAGAAAATGGCATGAAATAGACAATATCATCATATCGTAATTATATCGTAATTAGTGTGGTCTCCCTCAACTTGTCTTCTATAATGTATCTTTCTTTTGAACTCTCTGGGCCGTAAAAGTTAATTCAGAATCTACTTTCATTTAATTTTGTTCATTTTTCTTTCTGTATTAATTTACATTATGAATTTATTGCAGTTGTTACCTCAGACTAAGATGTTACTAAACATTTTCGTTATTCTCCTTCATTAAGCATTGACTTCAATTCTTTATATTCTCTTGCTACGTTACTAAAATTTTAATCTTCTTTCTCTACAGAATTCAAGATCATCTCAAGAAATTCCGAACCAATCTGCACAAGGGTCAAGAAGACAGGGGGTGTCACCTCCATTTTCTTCTATGCCTATTAACCCCAGCAATATTGCAAGCATGTTAATGAACATGGCCTCAAATGCTACAAATGGACATCAGGGGTCACATCCTCAGGAATGGGAAACAGAAGAGACAGAACCCACTACTCAAACTGAAATTAGAATTGGGGGAGAGGATCTAACAGGGGCCTTTCAAACTATGATGGAAATGTTATCTGGGGCTGTACCTCCAGGACAACCACAAGATCAAACCACTGGAAGAACAGCACCAAACTAAACCTTCTTGGGCACTCTGAGACTGTAAAGACAATCATTTTTGTTCTACTTTTTTTGATAGATTAAAAACATTAACTAACAAAGATATCTCTCTCTGTTTACATCATGTTTTTGAGGAACTATACATTTGAGAAGCAAAATATCCTATTGACATTTGTCTAATATTTATACTTTTACAATTTATAGTGTTTTTTGCCTTTTATCTTTAAAATATCATTTAATTTTTATAAATGTGGATTAAATTATATTTTTATAAATATCATATTGATTTAAAAAATTAAATTGATTCTTTTATCTAATTCATATCTTGCAAATCTTGGTGGCTGATGTTATGAACTCTTTATTGATTTCTTTATTTATTTGACGAAATGTTAATGGGTTGAAGGAACCGGGTGAGTGTTATTGTCTCTGAGTTCAGGATACATATATGGATAATTTTTTAAATGGGTGGAGAATAAAATCTGAAAATAAAATTAATTAAAATTATTTTATAAATAAAATTAATATATAATATTATTTTATTTTATTTTAAAAATTTAAGCATTGGATGGTCCAACTCATGCCAATTGTGTGGCAGTCTTAATTTTATTTCTGTTCAAGGTATGTTGCTTCCTTTTAAACTAATTTATCTTCACAAACATGTTTCAGTTATTTTATAAGATTCAAATTAAAGATAATGTTTGAATTTTTGTATAAGAATTAAATCAAAATCTTTTTGTGTTAATTTTTTTTGTAAGAGTACTTTTAATTAAAGTAATTTTTCTTAATTATATAACACAGTTAGTGAAATATAAGTGTATGATTAGTGTGAAATATAATTTTTAAAAAATAAAAACATATTTAATAATATTAATTAAATTAATTAATTCTTTACTATTGACACAAGTTATTGTATCTTCAATCAACTAGATTCTATTTTTGGTAATGTGACTTCGAATTTGAAAAACTGAACAACCATTCTTTCACACCACAATACACTTTTCTTCCCTTACTTCTCTCTTCGAACTAATCAATGAACGACTGTTTCTTCTAATTAAAATAAATAAATGTTATTTTTATGCAAAATAAATTATTTAAAACAATAGGTTTTATGTATTATATGTTGAACAAATTATACTTATTTCCTATTTATCACAAATTTAGGGAGACACATCCTATCCAATTTTATATACTTTGTGTAAACTTTGAACTGAGAAGGAAATTTAAAGAAACAGAGCTACTCAACTAAAGAAGTTGTTGAAGACAATTCTCAGGAGGTAGACCCAAAAAGTAAGATTTCAAGCCCAAAGATTATCAAAAAGTGAAAAATAAAATAAAATTAATGAAGTAATAATTTCTCTTTCCATTATTCTCGGGTTTTTGCAGTAGCAGACATTTAAATCCACGTAGGCAATCTAATCTACCCAAACCCAACCAACAAAAAGTTAAGAATAAAAATAAAAATAAAGGTTTCGATAAAAGTTTGACGACAAAACAAATCTAAAAGCACTTGAGCCAAGCAAGAGCACCAAAACCAACCGAGTTGGGGAACTCGTTCGCTACTGAAACTCCAACGACGACGCATCGTTCTCCCCAACACAACACATTTTTCTATTCTATTTATTTAATTTAACCTCTCTCTTTCTCTCTCTCACTTACTCACACTTCCCACGCCACCATGAGTCCATACATTTTCGGAGTCATCCTCCCTCTCCTCGTCACGCTCATCGTCCGTAACAAGAACTCTCCCAAGCGCCGCGGCGTTCCGGTTGAAACCGGGGGTGAACCCGGTCTGACAATCCGCAACCGCCGGTTCGAGTCCCCAGTCCAGAGCGCATGGGAAGGAGTCACCACGCTCGCTGAGCTCTTTGAAGAGGCGTGCAAAACGCACGCCGAGGGGCTCTTCCTCGGTACGCGCGTCATACTGGCGAGGGAATTGGAGAGCGGAAACGACGGCAGGTCATTCGAGAAGCTTCACTTGGGAGAGTACAGCTGGCTCTCCTACGACACCGTCTTCGATGTCGTTTCGGGCTTCGCCTCGGGGTTGGCCTTCCTCGGACATGCCAGGGAGGAACGCGCCGCCATCTTCGCTGATACGCGCCAGGAGTGGTTTATGGCGCTTCAGGTTCTGCTACTGCCTAGCTAAACTCCTATGAATTATTGCTCGAAGAAATTTTATTGAAATTATAATTTACTTAATTTTTTTGAATTTGCTTCTTCCACGAATTTAGTTGTTCAATTTTATTATATGAATTGATTTAACATCTAATATTTGATAAAAGTATTAATGTGATGATATAAAGGTGTTAGTCAACATAAATGTGAGAGTGACAATATAGTTATGTTACATCAAGATTTTTGTTAAATATTAAATTTAATGAAAAATTAAAATTGTGTTATTAAAATAGTAGAAGGATGATAAATTTAATGATTAAAAATTGAAAAGTACGAAAAATAAAATGTAATTAAGGCAGTAAGTTTTCTGGAAAAGTTTAACTCTCTTGATTAATTAATTAAGATGAGATGTTTGTATAAAAAAATTATGTAATTATAAAAATATTGGTTTACGCTTGACATTTAATATCTGTACGAATTTGTTGACTTGTACGCACTTTCATTTCGATTCTAATACTTCATGTCGTGCTAATATTAGAAGTATATTTTTTAAAAGATAAAATTTATTTAAATTTACGAAATTAGATGGGTTACTCTTTATGTTTAATTTGTCTTAATCATAATACGTTGAAGAAGCTGCCTAGACCACTCTCAAATCTTGCTTTGCCTGATTTTAAAGACCAATTTATTTATTTTATTTTTTCTGATGACTTTGTAAATTATTTTTAATTTCTATCCAATAAAATATTGGTGGCAATTATTTAATTTTTACATTTCTGCAACCCTGAATGTGATAGTTGAATTCTAATGTGAAAGTTGGAGACAAGTAGGGTCGAATTGGTTGTGGTAGTTACTAAAGATGCCAACTGTCACCACACATAAAGGGTCACACTTCAATTCTAATGCTATAATTGTTTTTTTACACAGTAGGGTCGTTACCATTCTTTTTATTTATCAAGTATGAAATTGAATGGAAAAACTCACTTAGGAAATAGAAAAGCTGTCTCTAAGTAAGGTAGAAAGAAACTACTCCTTCGTGACATTTAAAGAAGGTTATACTTGGTCCAGTGGTAAAGTTACACTTTGATATCAGTTGGTCATGAATTTAATTATGAAAACAATTTCTTTGCATAGTAAGGATAAGATTGTGCACTAATAACTATTCATTATATAAGGGAGAAGTAATTTGACATGGTTTTTCTTTCCTTCCATCTTCAGGGTTGTTTCAGGCGAAATGTGACAGTTGTGACTATATATGCATCATTGGGAGAGGAAGCTTTATCTTACTCATTGAATGAGGTTTTTGTTACTCCTCTCTCTCTCTCTCTTTTGTTTTTCACACATCTCTGTCTGGAATGTCCAGCTAACTGCTGTATCTCCTCATGATAATCCACTACCTTGGATAAATATGAGTTTGCCACATTTAATTGTATATATATGATGGAGCAATTTTTTGACAATAGTCACGTATATGACATGTGAGAATATAAAGGAAAGCAGTGTGTTTAAATTTCGAAAGCAATATGGCCACTTCCGATGTTTTCCCATTAATAACTGTAGTAGGAAATGCACAGTAGCAATGGCTATCTGGCCGAACACTAGACTTTTATGAAGACAATTCTATTTCACTACAAATGTCAGTGTATAAAGGACTCCTTGCAATTTCTCAATCCTCTTCAATCCAGTACACCAAACACATGTTGCCTACATCATAAAGTGGCATTATATAAACAACTAACACAAGGTATAGTTGATTTGTAAGTTTTCTGGAGAAATCAACTGAGATATTGTTCTCATTTTTCTTGTGTGCAAACTTAAACATCACACAGCTCCTCAAAAAATAAGTTCCAGCATTTACAGTTTATTTAACGACCAAAATTGGAATCTGTCTCATAAAGTTGTTTATATAGCCATAGCTTGTTCTCGCAATTGTGATTTACTTTCTGGAATTATGGTCCGAATGGTTTGCTGAATTGTTTGTGTTTGCCGTTGTTTAAGTTCGTGTGCTCTTTGTTTTATTACGAACTTACTTTCAAAACCTTTGCCAGACAGAGGTTACAACAGTGATATGTGGGCGAAAAGAATTGAAAACACTAGTAAATATAAGTGGACAACTTGACTCAGTGAAACGTGTGATATGCATGGATGATGATATCCCATCTGATGCCTCTTCTATTGCATATAACTGGAGAATCACTTCATTTGCTGAGGTTGTGAGACTTGGCAGAGAAAATCCTGTTGAAGCTGATTTACCCCTTTCAGCAGATGTTGCAGTTATAATGTATACAAGTGGAAGTACAGGATTACCCAAGGTCAGAAGCATCTTTGAGATCTGTAGCACTTCCAATTTCAATTTCTTAAATCCTTTTACTGGATTCACTGTTCTACATAGTCTTTTAGATTGTCTGAAATATGTTTTTTTTGTTCCCTTTTCATTCTCTTGTTTATTATGTTGGGTTAAATTATTCATGTGGTCCTATAGTTGCGCTCATTTTAAGTTTTACTCTCAGCTCAACAAAACTTGAGTTTTAGTTCCTATATGGATGTATAAAAATGTAGCTTTGGTCCTTGTTTATCGCAAGAAAACAATTTCTGACAGTAAAACTTCCACAAAAATTATCTTCCGTCACAAAAAAACTGGATAGGGACTAAAATTTACAGTTCTCATACAGGGACTAAAACTTAAAACGGAGACAACTAGGACCAAATAATTAGTTTAACCTTGATATTGTTTTGCCATTTCTTTAATTTTCTTTTGCACAGGGTGTGATGATGACACATGGCAATGTCTTAGCTACACTCTCGGCTGTGATGACCATTGTTCCTGATATTGGGACAAAGGATATATATCTTGCATACTTACCGATGGCTCATATCTTAGAATTAGCAGCTGAGGTATGTGAATATACTTTTCTTGATACATTCCATGAATATTTCCTTTTTAAGGGCATTCATTTTATTTCCATTTTAATTTCTTCTGTTCTTTTTTTCATGTTTTGACAAACTTGCGTACATGTTAGAATTTGATGGCAGCTGTTGGGGTTCCTATAGGATATGGATCTCCTCTGACCCTTACTGACACATCAAACAAGATTAAAAAAGGGACAAAGGGGGATGCTACTGCACTGAGGCCAACATTAATGGCAGCTGTACCGGCAATTCTTGATCGTGTCCGTGATGGAGTGTTCAAGAAGGTACTTTGATTTGTGACTTATGTGATTGCACTCCTACATTGCGCATATCAAGAGTACATGTGAGTTAGAAAGCTAGTTACACTTTTTGGATGAACTTCTCTATAGCACTTAAAGCATAAAACAAGGTAAAATGAATTGAGCTTCTTGCATAACCCAGAATCAATTGATACATTTGACTTATATAAATTTTTTTGTTTTATTTAACTTCTTCATAACTAAGCTGCATAAGTTAATTTTAGCTTGCGAAGTTCAATGCATTTTATTCTTAGTTTTGTCTCTTAAAACTATTTATAGAGAAAGTTTATCTAAATAGGGTCTAGTTGGCGAGATTGAGGACTTAAAACTTAAAAGCTTATCAATGCAGGTAAATGCAACAGGAGGATTTCCGAAGATGTTGTTTCATTTTGCCTATGCGCGGAGGTTACAAGCAGTTAATGGTAGTTGGCTTGGAGCTTGGGGCCTGGAAAAGGCTCTTTGGGATTTTCTTGTGTTCAGAAAGGTCCGGGCTATTCTGGGTGGCCGTATCCGTTTTATACTATCCGGTGGTGCTCCCCTTTCTGGTGATACCCAGCAGTTCATCAACATTTGTCTTGGGTCAGTCTTATCATTATATATATGCATTATCTTTGAAATAAAATGTTTTGATTTTGGAATAAGATGAGTGAAAAGCGTAGTAGAGGATAAGATATTTTCCCGAAAGAAACCAACAACGTTAAAAACACAAACACAAAAATCAAGCTAAAAATGAAAGACACATTACCTCAAATCTAGCTAGTCTTTCTATGGTTGAATTCCATATAAAATAAATGTCTATTGAAAATAGCACTATACTTTACAAACTAATCACAGGAGGAATTGTTCTCCAAAACATAACCATTGCACTAAATTGCAGTATGCTTAGATATGTCAAATAGTAGCTCATCTTTAACTTCGAAGAGATGTTATTGTTGATATTTTAAGGTGGCATAGCGAAACTTGTAATAGTTTCAACCATTTATTTTATGATACTGGTTGAGCGTTAAGCCTAGCGAACCAACTTAAGAGTTAGACTTAATAAATATTAGGATATTGTTCGATCAACCTTATAATGATGATGATTTTTCACAATTTATTTTGGAGAAACAATGACTTTCGTGTTCCTCTGCTGTTCATGAGTTTGTTTCTGAACAAAAAAAAAAAGATTATTTTCTCCCAAAATAATCTGAACCAAACACTCGAAATCAGAGAATATTATGAAAGAGTATATAATCTACATAGGGAGCCTTGCAACAAAATGTTCAAATGTAACTGCTGGATGTTATAATTGGCCTTGATAGTTGACGTAATTAAAATAGAAACTTTTTTCTGTGGGTAAGCATTGATCTGTTATGCGTTGAATGACCTTCTAAAAGATAAATTACTTCTTTCACTTTAAAGTGTTCAACTAAAGGAAATATTACTAGTTCCTACTCTAGTGCTTTTACTTTTTTGTGTTTCCTTTATTATATTTTTTGTCATATTTAAAATTTATGTTCATATTCAGTGCTCCAATCGGTCAAGGATATGGTCTTACCGAGACTTGTGCGGGTGGGACATTCTCTGATGTTGATGATCCTTCTGTTGGTCGTGTTGGACCACCTCTTCCATGCTCATTTATTAAGGTAATTATAGATTTGATTAATTTTACCTTCGTACAACTTGAATGGTGAGCTTTTTTATTTTTGCTTATGGGGAGGGGAGTAATGTCATAGCATGGTATCTGATCCTACGAACTCTTGCAATCTACTCAAACCTCAGCACTGTCCCCTCCTAATGGCTTAACTTCAAGAGATCTTACATAAGTAAATACTAATTTTGATAATGTTATTCAATGGAATCATACTTCCCAATTAGCTTTGAAAATTTACTCTTTGCAACTTATATCATGACACGGTATCAGCTTAATTAATCTACCTTTCTGACTTAAGATATTCCGTTGCCACCCTATACATTTGATAAGACGGGCGACTGTCTAGGACATACAAGAATTTATAAGATTGGAGGAATGAATAAAGACCGATTGTAAGATTGGAGGAATGAATAATGACCGATTGATGATCAAGTGCGAAGAATGTTAATTAGATGGAGAATAGCCCAATAGTTTGAGGTATAGGAAGACCAATAAAATTTGGAAATGAAACTATTAAAATGGTGTATAGATCTACATGGTTTTTCTGAAGACTTTTTGGCATCACTTTTCGTTGTTCTATCCATATTTCCTCACCTATTACGAAAAAGGTTTTTGTTGTTGTAGTTGTACAACATTATATTAGTAAATAATGTACAAACTATATTTGTTAGCTACACTCTCTCTTGTACTACTTTATTATATTTTAAAATTGATTAAAAACTTCAAATTCAGGAGATAGATTAGAACAGAGGGTAAAACATCCCCTGACTAGTGACCGAAAAAGAACGAGAACAAAACAATACGTTATGCAAACTTTCTTAGCATTTGTAGAAATTATCAGAATTTTTGTCAAAATAGGATGGTTGTTCTTTCTATATCATTTTACCATTTTCTTTTTGCAAAAGGTTTTGTGTATAATTGGTTGTCATTGTTTTTCTACCATTTTTAAATACTACTCTAGTATCAAGTAACTTTTGAGCATTTACCTTTTCTGAAAGATTTTCAAAAATATTTCTGGTGTTATTGTATCCTGTTTGAACTACTAGAGTTGACCCAATGGTAGGAGATTTGAGCAGTACGCATGAGGTCCTAGGTTTTACACATAAAATGTTACTCTATGTGAAGCTTATATTTTATATGTAAATTTCAAATTAGTAAATATCTTAAAATCTATCCATGAATGCGCTGTTTGAATTTTAAGTGTTGCCTATACTTTACGACTTTATGGAGGCTATCTCACAACTCTAAAGAGGATGTATCGGATGTGAAATATTTCCTTGTTTTCTGAAATCTTATTATCATAAGTGACTCATAGCTCGTAAAATTTCATAGAAATGGGGTCGAATCTATGAGCTTCCTTGTATAATGGTGCAATGTAAAGGGGGCCTCATGATTGAGTCATGTATTTTCTATCTACTATAGATATCAAACCATGCCTGTTTACTTACTATTTCTCATATGAACATTTGATTTATTTTACCACAGCTAATCGACTGGCCTGAAGGTGGATATTTAATAAATGACTCTCCAATGCCCCGAGGAGAAATTGTAATTGGTGGTCCAAATGTCACTCTCGGGTATTTCAAAAATGAAGAAAAAACAAAAGAATCGTACAAGGTAAGTTTCGATGGTCGTTTCTCTTATTTTTCTTTGGGGGGAAGACAATCTGGGATAATGTATCACTTTTCTGATTTTCTATGTATCTATCTGTCTATGATTTCTTTTTCTTCTTTTTTTTTTTATATATATTTTTATGTGCGGGGAGGAAGAGAATTACTTTGTTCTTTTGTGTGAAGGTTGATGAAAGAGGAATGAGGTGGTTTTACACTGGTGACATTGGGAGATTTCATTCAGATGGATGTCTTGAAATCATTGACCGTAAAAAGGACATTGTTAAACTGCAGCATGGAGAATATGTCTCATTGGGAAAGGTATGAATGGATATCACTTTAATTTTTTTATTGTTATTTTAAAGAGCTGTATTATTGAAGGAACCACAAATACTTTTATTTCTAGGCTAGGCTCTCTTTATAGAATCATTTGAAGTGTTAAATAAACTCTCAAACACAGTCTTTCTAACACTTATTCCACTGTTAATTAACACTTTTTGGAAACTACAGAATCAAGATAGGGATATATTAATGTGAAGTGAGACTCATTAAAATTTGTAATTTTAAAAAAATTTCAGCCAATATTAAAAACTGTGTTCAGTAGTGTATTACTAGCACTACTCTGGAGTAAAAAGTGTAACCGAAAATTGAAATTTTAAGAGTATCCTAATCTTGAAATAAATTGATAGAATATTATTCCATTATAAGAAATTAAATTACCCATCTTTATTTTGTAGACTTGCAGACATATTTCAACAACTTTGTGGCATGCACCATTCTAAAATATTTTTCTGCATGACCATCTTATTATAAACAGGTTGAGGCAGCTCTTATTGTTAGCCCTTTCGTGGACAATATTATGGTTCATGCTGATCCTTTCCACAGTTACTGTGTGGCACTTGTGGTGGGTTCTCAGTTCACATTGGAGGAATGGGCTTCAGAACAAGGTATTTCATATATCAATTTTTCAGATCTGTGTGCAAAAGAAGTAACTGTGAAGGAGGTGCATACATCACTTGTAAAGGTATGCTACTTGTCAAAGTTCTCTTAACAACTGAGTGGTAATGATTAGGAATTAATTAATTTCACTTTTTAGAAAGTACACTTGTCAAAACCAACAATACATTATGGAGTTTAAAGCTAACTAAAGCAACTTTTGAGATTAACTTCAGAGTTACATCCAAAATTATCCAAGGCTTCTCTCTTATTCAAACAACCATAGAGGCAAATTTAGGATACAAATCACGTTACACTATATTTTGTACAACGAAAAATGTGGAATGGTCATTTACACTCCAAGCCCAATTTTTGGCCATCACTGTTGCGTGAAACTAACTTTTTAAGTCATTTTTTACCCTCTACCAATCATGTAATAAGTGAAAATTGGACAGTTTTCATCTCACTTAATTTTACCTCCCTTTTTTTTATCTTCTACTCAAACAACCATAACTTCGATGGATACAAAAGTGATTTTAGTGAGGGCAACGGACGAAGCACGGCCACTTTTTGTAGATGAATATGATACATCTCGTTCAATGTCTTCGAAAGCTTCTATTATCGGAGTGATCTTCCTTTTATTAAAAGGGTTGTAATTATGTGTTTATTGTGACCATGAGATTGACATTTCATTATGCTAACCTTTATCCTTGACTTAAAAGTTTATACTATTTAAACCAGGGCATTGCTTTTGCATTTAAGCATGACGAAGAGAAGGATCAACTGAGATGAGATGTCTTTTTCTAATCTCTGCATATTCAAGAAAACAGCCAATAATTATGACAAGTACTGACATGGATTGGAGTGTAGGAATAGTTAAACATAAATGATTACGTTATCCAAGAATCATAAAAAGAAGGCAAATACTAACTACTCGAAGTCACAGGTTTTGTTAGTAGAAAGTTTCTTTTATTGGAATATGTAAAAATATGATTTTCCATAAAAACTTGTCTTTTTAATTCCCAGACATTAATGGCATAGGTTAGCAAAACCTTAAATAGAAAATTAAGAGAGTTGAGAAATGATTTATAGAGGAAGTGGTTATCATGTAAATTGCTAATGACATAAGCATGTCATGAGTTAAAAGTGAGAGTAACTGAAAACACAAAGAAGGAAAAGTTAGGAAGATTTTGTTTATGTGGTCTAAAAGACATTGCTATAACTACTCCATAGATTATGTTTCATCTTTTTTATATATTTATGTAGATTTAGTAATGTCTACTATATAAAAATTTTACTCCACGTGACATGTTAGTAAGGTTATAGAGAGAGATAAGCATGCATGTTAGCAAAAGCCCCTAAAAGACAAAGGGACCTATATTAGGTTGTGAACCTCATTTCTAAGTTGATACTTGTACTTGATTTTATATCTTGTAGCGTACGTTACACCAAAGATGTCCCACTTAGTTTCCTATTATTAATTATGTTTGGCGTAAGTCCCAAATTTCACAATTAAAATAAAAGGTTCTGCATTTTTTCTAGTATGCATACATGTATTCTTTGAATCAACATGCCATGTGATACTCTATTGTTCAAATGATGTCCTATTGTTCCGCTTTTTTGTTATCTTAGTCTGTGAACGAGTTATGCTATACTTACTACATTTTCTTAAAACTCATTTTTTTCTCCCTTACTGTCAAATCACTAATTTTATTTCTCACTTCTCTCTTTCTTTTCTATCTCACATAATACTGTGAAAATATTAAGAATATAATTTCTCTTTATGAAACTATTTGCAGGAGGGAAAGAAGGCTCATCTGGAGAAATTTGAGATTCCTGCAAAAATTAAATTGCTTTCCGACCCATGGACCCCTGAGTCTGGCCTAGTCACTGCTGCTCTCAAACTCAAGAGAGAGGCCATAAAAAAGACTTTTGATGAAGAACTTTCAAAGTTGTATGCTTCATAGGCTAAGAACACTACTAAACTTTCTACACCCTTTTCCCATTTGCGTAGGGCAGCGGTTGAGGTGAGAGAGATTTTGTATTTTTGTTGTTGCTAATTTTTTTTTTTTTTTTTTTTCATTTGAAGTTTATCATGCACAGTGAGGCTTATTACGTGCAGAAGGTCAATACATTGAATTTACTTAAGTAGTGACACTGTAAAATGAGCTTTTGTTAGACATTATTGTTGTATCAATTTTCCAATTATAGAGTTACTTATTGAGTCATGGGAATTCAAAATTATGCCTATTTGCCACTTTTCCCTTCACCAAATCAAATGGAAGGAAAAGAAAAAGAAAGTTAAATTAAGACTTTGATTCTGATAGGATCAATTGTATTTTAATTTGTTATGCTTGGTTCCTACATAAAGAAATGTTGACGAATCGATCCTCAATGTCGCCCTAATCAGAAGATTGATATCTTGTCAATTGTCAGAACTGTCCATGTCTAATGACTAAAAAGTCAAAAGTTGTGTAGGGAAGATGTTGGCAGATACGATTCACACACCCATTAGCTGGTGTATGTTTTCCTTATTTTTTAGTTTTTGCTTGTATTTTCTATTTCTGATAAATACTTTAACAAAAGTTATGTCCTGAAAGTCGAGATAATTTTGTGCAATTAGTTACCCGCTTAAAAGTTGTTTTTATTTTGTAACTAACTTTTATCCGGTGTCTTTAATATTATTTTAAATTAATAAATTAAACCGTCGTTATGAAAACAAAAAAAAACTTGTTAAAAGCAAATATTTATATGAATGTATTCAATTTAGGAACTTAATTTTCATCTAATTAAAATACTTTTCAATAGCTGAATAACTTGATATATAAAAAAATATAGTAAAGATATTAAACAAATTAAAATAAGTCAATAAAGTCGTTAAAAATAAGTGAACACGTGATAAAATAATACAAAATAGAGCAGATGAAATATTACAAAATAAGTCAATAAGAGATAAGAGATTACAAGGATTGTATTCAACACTCAGAAAAAGTATTTATACTTAGCCAACATACATAAGAATGTTGGAGGTAGACTCTTATTGTATGTCAGTAGGGAGTTACGTGTTATGATGTATGAGTGAAAATTGTAATGTAACTACTCCAAGTTATTTGATCACATCCCTGGACTGAAGGCACATGCCCCATAATGACCAGTGCCTGAATTTTCGTAGTATCCTTCAATTTTTATTTAAATAAACAAACAAACAAATAAGTAATGAGTTTTTATAAACAAAAGACGATATGTATCATCTTAAGATCAATCAATGCCAACACGCTATGTTTGTATAATCTATTTGCATGTCGTGTACTTCTAACATACTTATATATCTTTCTTGGATAAGGCACTATAGGTTACAAAATGAGAGGCTTTTGATAAATACTGTGAAGGGTTCAATATAGAAGAAAGAGAATGATATCATATTCTTGGTAAACAAATATGTTCACTGATAAGTGCGGAGGAACAAAAAATAGAAAGAATATACAATAGGGTACTAGGAACGTTTTAAGAGATAATATTCTTCTTATTAAATATATGAGATATCCAATACTTTTTTAGCCACAAACATCTCACTATAGAGTTAAGAAGTGAATTTTGAAGCTTTAGCATTTTAATATGTATTTATGAGTACCTGTCTCATACGATGGTAGGATACTGAGTCTTACTCTCAAACAATTTTGGTTAAAATCTAAAGAGGTCGTATTAAAAAAAAAATTGAATTTTTCTTGGAGATTAGAGTGAAAAATTATTTAAGTTGTTCTTAAAGAGTTTGATTAAAGAATATTACAAATTATATTGATTCATCAAATTATCATGTCCGTGAGACCTGAACGAATTATACATTTCAAAAATCTTGCTGCAATATTTTACAAATTGACACCACTTAATTATGTATTTAATTTTTAAAATTTAAGAAAATTTCTTTCTACCAATTAGAAAATAGAATTTTTTTATTCTAGAACTATTGTTAATAAGAATAATAGTGTCCCTCTCTCTATATATAAAAGATTATTAGAAATTTATTTTTTATATACTTGCCATTAATTTTTTTAATAATTTAATTTTTATTTTAATTATTATTATAAATAAAGATATATATATATATATATATATATATATATATTAATAAATACAATGTAAAAATTTGATGATAAGAAAGTTCCACGTATCCTCTCATATCAAAGAGAGGTTTCAATAATTATATTAAAAAATATAAAAATAAAAAATGAATCTTTAATTTATAATTTTTTTAATAATTAATATATATATACATATTAATTATAATTATTTAAGGATTAAAAATATTACTTTGTAATTTAAAAATTCAAAACATTAAAAACATAATTACTGAATTGATATTCGCATTGAGAATACACTAATTAACTACTGGTCTGTATATAGTTTTCTACCCAACAGAAGTACGTTAAAATAAGCAAAATTTTATTAAGTAATTTTTTATATAATTTAAAAAAATACAAAACTCGTTCAATATTTGTTTTTTAAACATAGTGAGATATTTAATTTTTATCATGTTCATGCAGACAATAAAATCCCTTGCCTAAATATGTTTTGTTTAATGAAAGATAAGGAGTATTCATAAAAATCCATTACATAAATTGATATATTTTGTTTAGTGAAAAATAAATATACTATTAATTCGTTTAATACGTAATCACAATTTAGATTTCGTTTGGATTGGTAAAGATTTGAAATGATTTGAGTAGATTTGTAGGATTATTTAGATTTAAAAAATAATAAATTTAAAAGAATTAGAGTAGATTTATTATAATTCATATTATTTAATATAAAATAATTAAATAATAATATTTTTATCATAAAAATCAAGTTATCTTAAAATGAATAGATTAAGAAGAAATTAAAAAATAAGAAAGATTGACTCTACTTTTAAAAATTACAATACAATTAACACGTATTTAAACAGTAAATAAAAAATTTTAAAAACTTGTAATCGTGTCATCATGTTTACTTAAAAAAAAAAAACGGCAACGTTTTCGTATCATTTTATTTTGAATTTCTTTTTTGAACACAATCTGTGAGAAATGTGGTGAGAAAGTTGAAGTATTCTTAAAGATGAGAAAGGAAAAGAGGGGGAAGAAGGATTGAGTGTGACCTGAAGGCAACCAGATCTGAAACAGTCCCTACATCCTCTTCTTAGCCATGTGATTTGTTTCATCCACCTTTTACATTTCTCGGATGTTTCTTTCCTAACTCCATTTTCTTCTTCTCTTCACTTTCTCTCTCTCTCTCTCTTTCTCTCCAAACCCTCACTTAATGCATCATGGTAGACCATGTGCCTACATCCACTGCTAAATGCTCTTCACCTTCTGTCTCGGACATGTTGCCAAAAGGAGAAAGACATCAAAACTCGCACCAATTATTAACCACTGTCAATCACCACGTCCTTCATACGCATTCTCCTTCCCTTCATTTTAGGGTTTACAATTCTTACATTTCAATCCCAACAAATATCCATTACCAACGTTCACGTCAAGAACACCATTTCATTCTGCTCCTACATTCCTCCTATTATACTTTAATTATCGTCTCATAATATCCAATACACCAAACACGTTATGATGATGATGATGATGATGCAGGATCTTAATTTCGACAATATCATCACTTCTCACAATTTCTTTTTTCGATTAATTCTTTTACTCACAAGACTCGTTACAGAAAACCTTACTTAAATATTTGCCTCCATATTATCATGTGATATCTCCCAATCTAGTTGGAGCAATCATAAAATTATTGTAATTTTATAAAATATTTAAATCATGATACAATTTTTTTATTTTAACAAAGAACAACTTTTAATTTATGATAATAAAAGACAACCAACGTGGACTTCCAACTCTTAATATTCTTCTTACAATGTCCCATAAAAAACATTATAATGGTATAATTAAATATCAAACATTGATAAAAAAACAAAATATTTTAAGAAAAAAATCATTAAAGAAAATAAAAGTAAATTATTTTTTGTTATATTTGAGAACAAAAGATTAAGAAATATGGTTAGAATATCGTTTTTGATATGTTGCGTAGTGGAAGGGGAACCCACCATTTTTGGTGCATGAAGACAACATGGTTGTGGGTTGTGAAGACTAATGGCAGTATTTTATAACTCAAATCTCCCATCTTATAACAAACGACATTGCTGGATCCCTTTCCCAGAATCATTGTCGTGCTCCAACGCCGCAAACATAGGACAACATTCACAACATTATACACCCATAAATCTATCACAAGATATATTCACTCTCAAATTTCAAACACATTCAAATAATTATGCTACTGTGTGTTTTAAAATGAGGATTTTTATTTAAACTTGTATTTATAATCACTACAAGAAAAACACCAAATAGTGACCGAAAATTCGGTCACTAAATGTGTAAAATCGGTTACTAATTAAAATAGTGACCGAAATAGTGACCAACTGGAATCGGTCACTGAATCGGTGGTTTATTGACATTGTCAGGATTCGAACCCGGTACCTTAGAGTTGGAGATCGAAACTCCAACCACTGAGCTTACTAAGATCTTTTAATAATAACTTACAAATAAATTATATTTATATACAAATAAATGTATATCCAGTATAAATATATAAATATAAAATCTATAAATAAAAATATATTTATATATTTTAATATATATTTAAATATTGATATATTTATATATTGATATATTTATATCTTTATATTTTTACATATATTTATATTTTTATATATTTATATCTTCATATTTTTACATATATTTATATGTTTTCATATTTATATATAAAGATATTAGTTTTCTATACAAATAATATTATAATATAGTATATTATACTATTAGTATAGTATACAAATAATATATTAGTATAGTATAGTATAGTATACAAATTATTAATTTTGTAATTTATATACAATGAAAATAATATAATGGTATATTAGTATAGTATA